CCCCCCTGGGGCTTTCCTGGCGCTCGCGTCGCGTCGCCTCCAGGGGTGCGCGCGGGTGCGCGAGGATGGTCTCGCCTGCACGCCTCGCGCAGCGCCGAGCGCGACGTCAGGCGAGGTTTGGATTCCAGCGTGCCCCGCTGTCGTCGTCATTGCCGTCGCAGTCGCCGTCGCCGTCGTCGTCGCCGTCACCGTCGGGGATCGAGGCTCTAGGTCAGCGTCGAGGATCGAGGCCTCTGGCTAACGTCCGTCGTCGGCAAGCGTCGTCGAAAGGTTGGACCCTCCTGGCGCGTGACACAGAGAGAACACACGCACACACCCACACCCACACCGGGGAACGGTAACGATCGTACGTGGGGGGGAAGCTGGACCCCCCGCACATGCTGGTGCTCGCGCGCGTGATCTGGCGATCGCAGCGCACCCCCTCCCCGACATGCCCCGTCCCGCCCAACCCCCCGGGTAACGACCGTGATCCGAAGTGTTAAAGAAAAACGAACCTCGGGAAGCAACCGATCCAACGGCTCCGGGTCGAGCCTCTCCCTCGGCCGGGCCAGGGGGGGGGGGCAGGACCGGAAGTACGAGTTGCAGGACTTCGCCGTGTTCGGCAGCCCGCTCGGCGTCGGCTGCTACGGGAGGGGCCACGGGGGCGGGGCCCCGAGCGCGAGGGAGGCTGCGGAGGGGGAGGAGGAAGCTGCAGACGGAGAGGCTCGGACGTGTCCCGCTTCTTGTATCGAGGCCTCCCAGACGGGGTCCGAGCAGATGGGGTCTGAGGGTTGCACCGCATCGCCGATGCATCGGCGATGCGGCTCGATGTGGGGCCCGCTCTTTTTTCCGCCGACGTTGCGGAGGCGTCGCCGTCGCCGCAGATGCATCGGCGTTGCGGCGCGATCCTCCGACCCCATTTACTCTGGATCTCTTATTAGTCGTACCCCGGGTCCGGTTTTTTAAGGTGCCTTTTGGGAAAGCAGGGGGGGGTCCCATTTCTTAGGGCGTTTCTTTGAAGCCGACATTGAAGGGGGTCCGGATTATTAGGGTGCTTCTTGCGCATGCACGTTCACGTCGCACGAGCGCGAAATTCTCGAGGATTGTGCTGCTTACCACCAGCCTGCGGAGCATCATCAACATCACCGTTAGCAGTATCACTATTATCACCATCCTTACCATCGCAATCACCGTCATCGTCGTCATTGTCATGACTACCAGCTCCATCAGCATTGTTATTATCGGGCTTCACTGCCACCGCCATCGTCACCATCACTGCGATTGTCGTCATGTCCTTTGCCATCGATGCTCTGTTCTTTGTTCCATCACCGCCATCACCGTCATCACCGTCTCCTAAAGTGACAGTTGTCCGCACAAAGAACACGGCCTTGAAGGCGGGCTTGAAGGGCAAGGGAGGGAACGCGCATCCGCATGATACATTCTGCGAGCTCGGGGCGCTCACGCACGGCAGAAACATCGCCAGATGTAGCATGATAGCATGATCGTCGTCATTGTCGCCGACATCAGGGGTGAACCTTCATTGCCATCGCCGTTTGTTGTCATTTCGTCAAACGCCTTTCCATTAGATACCAAATCGTCTTTGCACTTCGGGTGTTCTCTTGTGCCCGGGGGGGTCGAGAAGTTTGAGGCCCCGAGCGCCTCTGCCGAAGCGCTCGCCTGGGGGCGGCAGGCGCTCCCCGGGGGGCCGGGCCCCCGCCGCGAGGCCCTCGGGGATGCGGCGCCTCGTCGGAGGGCCCCGTGCCTCGCGGCGCCCCGCCCGCGCACCGTGCCGCGGCCCCCGGGCCATCCTGGGGCGCACGGCGGCGTGCGAAAGCGGCCCGCGCGCTTCGTGCCCGTGCGCCCGTCTTCCCGTCTCCTCTTGGCGGCGAGCGAGGGGGGGGGGAAGCTCGGGGCTCGAGCTTCGAGGTTCGAGGCCTCTGGGCGCTGCCGTCGGTTCTCGGCGGTTTTCCGGCCTCGGGATGCTTGCCAGCAGCTGCGCCTCGCCGAGGGCGTTCCGGGGGTGCCCAGATCGTCCCGAACGGCCGCCGGAGACCCGAGTGATGACCCAAAAACCAACCTTCTGCGGCGCGCGAGGGGGGGAAGTGAGAAGGAGAGAAGGCCTTCTCAGCAGGCGGCGGGCTTTCTCAGAAGCCCTCTTTGCCGTCGGAGAGGTTTGCTGTTGTTGTGTCTCCAGAGGAGGCTGAGAAACTTCTCAGAAGGCCGGGGACTTCCGAGCCCTCTGAAGAGGCCTGCTCCTGATCATTTCCCCCCCTCGCTTGTCGGCAAGGTGCGAGCGGCCGTCCGCCTCGCCGCGCGAGTGGCTCGTCCGCGCGCCCGTGCCATCATGGCGCGCGAGCCCGCCGCACCTCGAGTCGCGCGGTGCCACCCCCCCTCTACTGCCAGGGCTCGTTTCGATTCCTCCGATTCGATTCGATCCGATTCCTGATCACTTCCCCCCCCCCCCCTCGCTCGCCGCCACTGCTTCTGCCGCCGGTTCCTTTGCGCTCCCCACCGCCCGGGCCGCCCGAGCCCGCGTGCGGACTGCCTCCTGCCGCGCTGCGACGTCTGGAGTGGGCGATCGACTACGGAGTCGATGTGCCCCAAGATCGATGTCCCGGTCGAGCCTACAGCAGAAAAAAATCAGGCAATCGCAAGCATGGATTCAGCGGGCGTGAATTAGCGACAGGTCCCGTTTCCATGGGACATCGCGGATTTCTGCCGCTGAACGAGGCGGCACGGGCCGCATGGATTTAACGACCTCTCGCCAAATCCATGAATCGCTAATCCATGTTTGCGCGCCCCCGAGAATGGCGTAGCTTTTTTTACGGATCAGGAGAACATGCAACAAGTTTGGGGAAAATCAATTCTGTAGTCGATCCTCGACTCGAGCGTAAAGAGTGTGTCGTGCTCCGCCTGGCGCGCTCCCGCCTCTGCCCACTCGCCTCCCACGGCCCGCGAGCGCGGCGGAGGGGACTCCCGAGAGTCCGGCCTCTGCGGTCGGCGGCGTCCGCGAAGTGTTCCAGGTCGCGCGTCCCGCCGCGGCGTCGGGGGCAGCGACAGAGGGGGGGGGATGGGCAGAGAGTTTAAGCCCATGCCAAGAAACACCCTGCTTGCCTCCAGGGTGTCCTGGGTTTCTTGGGTGCTTCGATGGTTATGCAAGGGCCAGCGTGACGTTCCCACACCAAAAATCAATGGACGTCTTGGGGTCTCAGGGTTGGGCTTCTTGTGGGAGGTTTCTTGTGGTCGAGCTCCTACTGCACGGGGTGACGCATTTGCCCCAAATCGCCCGCTGATCGCCCGTTGGGGTCTGATAGCCCCACCCCGCCCAGGAGTGCGGGGATCCCCCCCCCCCGCCCCCCGACGCCCGCCCCCCTCCATACAGTCAACCCGCATAGTAAGGATGAGCGACATTCCAAGGTTACCCTTGCATCCTTCCCCCTCGGCCCGTCCTTGGCACCTTTCGCTGACCGCGTCCCGCTCGCGAAATGTGGACAGGGCCTTCCACGGCATCCTCCTCGCGCATCCTCCTCGCGCATCCTTCTGATACGGGTCGACTCTATGCCAGCCTCAGGGGAACGAAGAACGACACGAACATAAAAACTGAGGTCCGCGCGGACTTCTCGGATCGGCGCCGGACCCCCCCCGCTCGCGGATCCGAGAAATCCGAGCGAACCTCCGAGTTTTTGTGTTCATGCCATGATTCGTTCCCCGAGCATTTTCTTTGGGTAGAGGGCAAAGGGTGAAGTCTGAAATGCCGTCTTGATTGGTTTTCGAGGCTTGAGTCTGCAAAAGGTGAGTCACAAGACGGATTGTTTTCCGAGGTGCAAAATCCCATATGGATTTCACCCTGAGCCCTCCACCCCGAGAAAATGCTCAGAAGTTCCCCCAGCCCACCCCCCCCCCTGCTGTTGCCCCTCCCGGACGGCCCCTGCGCCTTGCCGCTTGGGCGTTGCGTAATGGGGGGGTCATAAATGGGGGGGTGGCGAGGGTGGTCCGAAAAGGTACCCAAACGGTACCTAAACGAGCCCCCTGGGGCTCCGGAGGGGCCCGAAAGGGGCACGAAAGGGGACCTTTTCTGACCCCCCCCATTTGTGACCCCCCCATGAAGCCACGCCCAATTGCCGCCACGATGGGCCCGCGCGTGGCCTTCGGCGGCGTGCTCGCGCGGCGCCTCCCTTGGCGCCCGCGCGCCGGCGCAGAGGGGCGCTCCGCGGGGCCGGCGGCGCGCGGCGAGCGGAGGGCGCGGGCGGCGTGCTCGCTGGGCAGCAGGGACCTGGCGGGCGTGGCGGAGCGCCTGATGATGGGCCTGTTTTCCACCACCACCACCATAAGTTGGAGAGGGAGGGGGTCCTCCTCCACCTCCTCCATCTCCTCCTCCTCCTCCTCCTCCTCCTCCTCCTCCTCCTCCTCCTCCTCCTTCTCCCCTCCAACTTATGGTGGTGGTGGTGGAAAACAGGCCCATCACCTGAAGGAGTGCAGGCACCAGTCGCCCGCCCGAAGCAGAGCCCCATCCCTTTTCTCTGGTTCGGGAGACGATCTCCTGGGAGCCTCTTCATTGTCGCTCAGGGTCCGGCTCTCCTGCGCCTCCAGTGGTCCGCAGTCGTTGGCAAGCACCACTGGAGGCCACGGGGGGCCACTGGAGGCCACTGGAGGCCACGGGGTGACCACTGGAGGAGCCATTGGAGGCCGCTCGAGGCTCGCGGGGGGCCACTGGTGGCCACTGGAGGGGCCACTGCGGCCACTCAGGTGATGACGAACGGATCACGGGAGCGTCTTGTGAACCATATTTGGCATCAGCTTGCCTCGGTGCCGATCGTACGGATTTCCTCAGTCTCTGAGGGCACATCCCTTAGATTGTCATCGCCTTGAGCTTGCCGATCTTGGGGATGGGGATCAGTTCGAGGCTGGTTAACCAACCAGCCTCGAAATCCCTAGGGTCGACAAGCCCTAGGCGGTGGCAATCTTGGGGGTGTGCCTGCAGAAACTGACGGGGTCCTTGAGATCGGCGCCGAGATAAGGAGATGCCAACTCATAGGGATAGGGATATATTTCAGACTGGTAAGGCACAGCCCGGCGGCGCGCAAGAGAGGTCCGAGGGCCGAGGTTCGAAGACGATGCAATGGCGTCAACATAAACATTCGGAGCTCCGTGCGGATTCCTTGGAGCGGCGCTGGACCCACTTGGCGGCGCCTCCGGCGCCGCCCTTGGCACACTCCGCGCGCCAGGGAGATTGGTCCAGCGCCGATCCAGGAACTTTCCGCGCGGAGCTTCGAAGGTTGATGCTTATGCGATGGTTTCTCTTTTTGTCCAGTGCCGAGGCTCGAGGGCATGTTTCGAACGCCCCTGGCATCCTGCGTTGCCCGCCGCGGACGCCACTCATGGCCACGGCAGGGCGCCGCTCGGAGCAGATGGAAGGCCAATGACGACAACAACAATACTTCGCACAACAACAGCAGTAAAACATCACAACAACAACAGCAGCAGCAGCAACAACACCACCACCACCACGAACAACAAACAATACTAATACCAACAACAAGCAGCACAGCATCAACAACAACCACAACAACTACTATCACAACCACGACAACAACAACACCAGCAACAACAGCATCAACAAGGACTACAACAACAGCCGCAACCACAACCACAACCACAGCAACAACAACATACAATTACGACTACAACGAATCCACCAAGGCCAGCAACGCGGAGAGGCCAACAACATACGGAAGGTTCGCGTGTGCCGACGCGGCTGCGACCCCGCCGCAGGCTTGCAAGGTTGAGAGCGCCGCCAGCGTCAACCAGACCACCCCAACCCAACCCGAACAATGTACCCCCCATTTCCAGCGGGGGGTCGGGGAACGTTGGCAGAACGCATATGGAACCCGTATCCCCCCAAACCGGAATTCGGGTCTTCGGGTTGGGTTGGGGTGGTCTGGCAGTTAGTCAGGATGGGCCAACATTGAACGATTTGGCAATCGCGGATGCGGCCCCGCCGCGGGTGTTCGAGGGTTGGGTGCGCCGCCGGCAGCCCCGAATCGGCCAAGATGGAACGAGTTGGCGATCGGGAAGCCGCCGACCGTTCACAGATGGATCAAAAGAGGCAGTCGATGCATAAGCCCAAACTTTTGACGGTCCGCGCAGATCTCTTGGATCGGAGCCGGATCCCCGGTAAAGGTGACGATCGTGCGTAGGGTAGGGTGTTTGTATGATTGTATTCCCCCCCCATACCTGCTGGTGCTCGCGCGCATGCTATGGAGATCGCAGCGCACCCCCGCCCCGACGTGCACCACCTAGCCCAAACGTTCCTGTTCCCCAGGGCTCCAACCACCCCCCGGGGTAACTACCTTTGCCTCACTTCCCACCAAACCACCCCAACCCAACCCGAAGGCCCCAATTTGCCTTCCACTCCCAGTGGGGGGGAGAGTGTCAGGGAACATTGAAAAAACATGAAGACTCGTGTGAGCCCGTACTCCCCCACCAACACGGAATTTTGGGTCTTCGGGTTAGGTTAGGGTGGCCTAGCAGGTAGTCATTACAGGACATACTCTGCACACACGCACACACACACACACATTCCGTGTGCACGCCTTTCGCGGTCGGCCTCCGTTGGCCTGCGTTGGAACGAGATCGGCTTCCGCCAGCCTGCGTTTGAGCACGGTCGCTGGTGCACGCGGGACCGCGGACGGAGGGCGCGCGTGCACATGTCAGCATCGTTTAACCAACCCCATCCCTATCATCCCCTTCGAGACCCCCACCAAATTACCACCCCAGTTGGGGATACACCCCTCGAAGCCCGAAGGGAACGGCCTATATCCCCATCGGCCAGTTGGGCGCAGCCCATGCTGGTTGGGATGGGGATCGGTTAAACGATGCTCAGCTGGTGCACACGGGACCGCGGACGGATGGCGCTAGTGCACATGTGCCTTTCCTCGCTCACAGATGGACCCCGGGAGATCTCTGGGGACCCGCTCTGAGCGTTTTCTCACGGGCCAGGGGCAGAAGGCGAGGGGGGCCGCTTTTCAAGAAGGCCGGGAGGCGGCTTCAGCCCTCTGGCTTCCGGAGGGAGGCACGGAGCCGTCCCGGAAGCCTCCGGGGCTTTCTCAGAAGCCGCTCGCCGGGGCCTCGGAAGCCAGGACATTGCAAACCAGGATGTTGGAAATTGAAGCTTGAGATAGCAGGCAATTCTTCTTCCCCAGCCCCCGACGTTTCGACTAAAAATGAGGCCACTCAGAAAAGGAGGGGAACCCTGGGCTATACCCAGAGGGAGCTATTCGGACGCACTCCCATCGAGGATGGACGCCCCCCATCGTATATCCCTGGGTTGGGCCCAAAATTTGTCATCCATTCGAGAACCTCCCAAAGCCTTGGGTTGGGGTCGACACAGCCCCTTGTTCGGCGAGAGCGAAGAATCGCGAATGTTTCCACCCACGGCTGCCGTATTCTCTGGTGCGCCAACGCCCTGGTTCATCAACGCCGCCGTGCATGGGGCCCTGGCCCGTGCCTTTCTTGCGAGGCCGCCCGTCTCCTCGTCCCACCCCTTGCGCGCGCCGCCGAATATCGTCGTCATGGCTGGGGCTGGCCTGAGCGTCAGCGCCGGGATTCCAGACTTCCGGTCTCCGGGGACCGGGCTGTACGACAATCTGCACAGGTACGGCCTGCCCCACCCGGAGGCGATCTTCGAGCTCAGCTTCTTCCGAGACAACCCCGCGCCCTTCTATCCAGCCGCGCTGCCGCGCGAGTCCGCCACCTCGCTCGGGCGGGCGCTTGGGGTTGGGAGGGGGCAGGGGTTGACAGAGGGTGCCAGGGTGTGTGGATCCCATGGGACTTCCCTCCCCAGCGCAACAACTTGGCCAAGCAATCAAACCTATCAGGCCCATGTGGGGCTAGATGCGTCGGGGCCGTCTGCCCTTTGCAAGAAGCGAGACTTGCCAAACGAGCACACCAACCGCTGCAAGCGCGGTGCGGCGGATATGCTCTGCAAGGAGCTCTGGCCTGGGCAGTACCGCCCCACGCCCGCACACTATTTCCTGGCACTGCTGGAGCAGAAGGGCTTGCTGCAACGCTGCTACACTCAGAACATCGACTCCCTTGAGACCACGGCCGGCCTTTCCCGAGAGAGACTGGTCGCCGCGCACGGGAATTTTGACACCGCCTCCTGCATCGACACGGGGCGGAAGGTGCCCCCGGACGAGGTCAGGCAGGCCGTGATGGGCGGGGCGGAGGCGTGCGAGGAGATGGCGCAGCGGCACGGCGGCCTCGTCAAGCCGGACATCGTTTTCTTCGGCGAGAGTTTGCCGGAGAGGTTCTTCCGGCTGCAGCGCGAGGATCGGCGTTACCCGCATATATCATGTGAGCGACGCAGAAACCGAATTCGATGGCGCCGACATTGGCGCGTAAGATTCCTGCGTAAGGCAGCGCGTAGGCGCCTTCGCTTCCAAGGTGGCTTGCCGTGCTGGCGGCCCGTGTAAGCCACCTCGCGTAAGACCCCTTCTCATGTCGTCGCTCATACGTGCGTCGCCCCTCCAGGCGCCATGCGCGCTCCGAGAAATGTATAGCGTAAGCTCCGTGGCGGGCGTTTTTCTGTCCATACCGCTCGGGAAGCCATATACGACAGGATGTCTGTGCTGCAGGCTCCTTCCAGACGGGCGCCTCCGAGGAGGGTGCATATAGTACTGGCGTGTCCACCTGGTGTTTCATCATGGACCCCTGGCTTACCGCAGCTACACAGAAATTCGCGCCGAAAAGCGCAGGAAGCCGCCGAAGGCCGCCGGCAAGCCGCCGACGACCGCCGGAAGTTCGCCGAAGGTCGCCCATAGGGCTGGTGGGCAACGGGGGGTCCAGCGCTGGGCACGCAGTATGCGCGCGCCCGCGCTCCTGCCGGAGAAGGAGGAGGCGCAACAACATGGCTTAAGTCGAGCTTGTCCCTCCACAGGGGGCATATTCAACAATAGTCCAAAGATAGTCTGGATACGATTCAAACATAGGCACGAGAGACATGGCCCCCCTGCACAAGATCCCTTATGCGCCTTGTGCGCGGGCACCCTTCGCTCCCGCACGCCTTCTATAGAAAAATACGGCTACGACTACTACCGGCGTCCCCCCCAGCATGCTGATGCTATGTGTGCGCCTCCCCCTGCAGGGGCGACGCGCGCACCAAGAAAGCTTTCAGTATATGCGCCGTGGCGGGCGTTTTCTGGCCAAACCGCTCGGGAAACGATGGACTACAAGATGGGTATGCTAAATGTTCGGGTCGGACGCGCGCCTCCAAGAAGAACATGTGGTACCAGCATGTCTCTGTGCGTCCCATCCTATGTATGTCCTCCTGCGCCCCACGAGGACTTCGCGCTCTGCGACCTGCTGCTGATCTTCGGCACCAGCCTCCAGGTCCACCCCTTCGCGGGCCTCGCCCGCGAGCCACGGCCGGGCGTGCCGAGGGTGCTGGTGAACAGGGAGCGCGTGGGCGAAGACGAGGAGTTCAGGGCCAAGCGTCAGGGGGGTGGATACCGTCAGCGCGGGCAGTAAAGTCGTTGAGGAGAAAAGAACCCCTAACCCGAACATCACGATCGAGACGTAGCCTCACTGAGGCCCCCGTCTTCGCATTGGGGGTGATAATTCTGGGCGGTTTGGTCCGATACACCTGCAGAAAAGACCCCCTATCCCTTATGCTCCTGGTCCTCCTAACGTAGATCCCCTCCCATAGGGGTAGGGGTCCTTCGGGGTTCAATCATAAAGGGTGAAAGACTTAGCAAGGCTACCCTTGCATCCTTCCCCTTCGGCCCATCCTTGGCCACCTTCGCCTGCCGCGCCCCGCTCGAACAGTGTCGGCGTGGCCTTCTAGGGCCCTTGCGTGAATCGTGCGTCCTTTGTTATACACGTTGACTGTCGTTGAAAAGCAGGGAGCTGCATAAGCACGAATTTTCAGAGCAACGCCCGGATCTCTTTGATCTGCGTTGACCCCCCCTCCCTGGCGCGCGGAGTGCGCCAGGGGCGGCCCGAAGGCGCCGCCGAGGGCGCCCAGCGCCGATCCATGAAGTCTGCGCCGAGCTCCGAAAGTTAATGTTTATGCAGTGGTTTGGTCCTCCATGAAGGCTCAGATGACCTGCCCCCGAGCGATCGGCCGCAATTGTTTGGTCCTCTAGGTAGGCTCAGTTTGTTTATGTTTACGCAGTTGATCGGCCCCAAGCGCCCACTCATCGCTGACAGGGAGCCCCATAGCACACCCCGCTGGATGATCCTCAGGACGCGTGTTAGCCCGATATGCGCTTTCGCGTTCGGCTCCACCGCTAGATCATTGTACTGCCTGCGTCGTATTGAACGGCTTCGATGAAAAGCACACGTTGCAGGCTAACACACTTTCTAAGGATAGCCGACCCATTCAGGAGCATGCGGATTCGCTATCGGGAGTATATCGCCATCTATCGGCAATGTATCGCCGATTTCAGGTCGACACTTCCTCTTTCTGACCCGGTTCCCCCCCTGACGTTTTCCCCTCGAGGATGGGCTCGGCGAGCTCCAGGCGATGCTCGGGATTGGACGAGCATCAGGAACGGAGGGAGAACCGAGGTTCGAGGCTCGAGCTTTGCTTGGAGGTGGTTCCCTCTTCTTGCGCGTCCCGCAGAGCTCTTGTCACCGCAGCTGGATTCCCCTTGGAATCAAAGATTCTATAGGCGTACGCCACATCCGCCGACCCCTTTGTTCGAAAAGCGTTGTGGTTTCTCTGGGGTCGCATGCAGTGTCGGCACCATTCTCCTGCAATGTTGCGTGCAGCGTGTGGTCGTGAGGAGGAGGAAGAGGAGAAGGAGGAGAAAGAGGAGGAGGAGGAGGAGGTGATCGCAGGGATCTCTTGGGGGGCTCCTCGCGGGACTCTTGGAGGCAGTTTGGAAGCCTCTTGGGAGCCGTTTTGGGGCCGTTTGGGGCCTTCTTGGGGGCCTTTTGGGGCTTCTTAGGGGCGCCTTGGGGGCCTCTTGGGGCCTCTTGGGGCCTTCTTGGGCCGTCTTGGGGCGGAAGGCTCGGATTGTCGGTTCAAGCTCCCCCTCTTGGGCCCCTCTTGGGGCCGTCTTGGGGCCCTCCTGGGCCGTCTTGGGGGCCTCTTGGGCCGTCTTGGCGCCCTCTTGGGCCGATTTGGGCGCCTCTTGGGGGCCTCTTGGGCCGTCTTGGGGCGGTCTTGGGGTGCTCTTGGACCGTCTACAACGCCGTAAAGGCCGACAAGTCGTATATGATGAAAATTTACGTTTTCCCATCGGAATTTGATGATTTTCGGCTCTTCGGCCCTTCTGAGGAATGTTCTTGGAGGCCTCTTGGGCCGTCTTGGAGGCCTCTTGGCTCGTCTTGGGCCATCTTGGGCGTCTTGGAGCGCTCGTTTGGGCCGTCTTGGGGCGGAAGGCTCGGATTGTCGGTTCAAGCTCCCCCTCTTGGGCCCCTCTTGGGGCCGTCTTGGGGCCCTCTTGGGCCGTCTTGGGGGCCTCTTGGGCCGTCTTGGCGCCCTCTTGGGCCAACTTGGGCGCCTCTTGGGGGCCTCTTGGGCCGTCTTGGGGCGGTCTTTGGGTGCTCTTGGACCGTCTTCAACGCCGTAAAGGCAGACAAGTCGTATATGATGAAAATTTACGTTTTCCCATCGGAATTTGATGATTTTCGGCTCTTCGCCCCTTCTGGGGAATGTTCGTGGAGGCCTCTTGGGCCGTCTTGGAGGCCTCTTGGCTCGTCTTGGGGCCATCTTGGGCGTCTTGGAGCGCTCGTTTGGGCCGTCTTGGGGCGGAAGGCTCGGATTGTCGGTTCAAGCTCCACCTCTCGGGCCCCTGTTGAGGCCGTCTTGGGGTCCTCTTGGGCCGTATTGGGGGCCTCATGGGCCGTCTTGGCGCCCTCTTGGGCCAACTTGGGCGCCTCTTGGGGGCCTCTTGGGCCGTCTTGGGGCGGTGTTGTGCTCTTGGACCGTCTTCCACGCCGTAAAGGCCGACAAGTCGTACATGATGAAAATGTACGTTTTCCCATATGAGTTTGACGATTTTCGGCTCTTCGGCCCTTCTGAGGACTGCTTTTGGAGGCCTCTTGGGCCGTCTCGGAGGCCTCTTGGCTCGTCTTGGGGCCATCTTCGGCGTCTTGGGGCGCTCGTTTGGCATCTCGGGGCCCTCGTGGGCCGTCTTGGAGACCTGTTGGGACCTTCTTGGCCCGTCTGGAGCCCCATTTAGGCCCAAAAGAGGCACGTGAGTCGCTCGGCGTGGGCCTGGGGGGGGGCTCAAATCGTCGGTTTGGGGTCCCATGGGGGGGGACTATGGGGGGGGGACTATCTCACACGCCTAGAGACCCACAAGGGGTCGGCGGACTTCGAGGCGGCGAGCGAGGGGGGGGTAGTGAAAATGAGAAGGCCTTCTCAGAAGGTGGCGGGACTTCTCAGAAGCCCTCACGCCTTCCGAGAAGTTGCCTGTGTCTTCGGGGAAGGCTTAGGACATTTTTCAGAAGGCCGGGGGGCTTCCAAGCTTTCTGAGAAGACCCACCCCTTCTCACTTCCCCCCCGCGCTCGCCGCCGCATTGCGATGGTGGGGCTTGCTGCCCACAGAGGCCTCACCACCACTGCGTAACCTACATGGTGTTTGGCCGCTTACGCAGTGGGTCCACGCAGGACACCCGTCGCGGTAACCACCGTTCTGAATTCAGGAATGGCGCTTAGCTTAGGGTCCCTGGCTTCATAGTCTGCTGATCCAGGTTGCCCAACCACCCAGTTCCGCAAAATTCGAAGGCTCGACGTGTGTCAGCTTCTCGGGGGAGCTTCCCTCCTCTCGCGCGTCCCCGGGCGCTCTCGCCGCCGCGGCTGGACATCCCCCCCGAAGTCTTTTGGCCAGAACGAGCGCAGCCCTGGGCAGGCCCAGGCGCGGCGATCTCTGAGTGCTGCATCGGGGAGCAGGGCCTGATGCTGTGGAGGGTTTCTTCGAAGGGCTGAGGCGTCCCGTCCTCGTCCTCCTCCTCCTCTTCGTCCTCCTCCTCCTCTTCGTCCTCCTCCCTTCTCCTCCTCCTCCTCCTCCTCCTCCTCCTCCTCCTCCTCCTCCCTCCTCCCCTCCCTCCTCCCTCCTCCCTCCTCCCCTCCTCCCTCCCCTCCTCCCTCCTCCTCCCTCCTCCTCCTCCGCCTCCTCCTCCTCCTCCTCTGCCTCCCTCGTTCTCCTCCACCTCCTCCCCTCCTCCCTCCTCCTCCTCCTCCTCCTCCTCTCCTCCTCCTCTCCTCCTCCTCCTCCTCCTCCTCCTCCTCCTCCTCCTCCTCCCTCCCTCACCTCCTCCCCTCCTCCTCCTCCCTCCTCCCTCCTCCTCCTCCCTCCTCCTCCTCCTCCGCCTCCTCCTCCTCCTCCTCCTCCTCCTCCTCCTCCTCCCTGTCCTCCTCCTCCTCCTTCTCCTCCTCGTCCTCCTCCTCTTCCTCTGCCTCCCTCGTTCTCCTCCTCCTCCTCCTCCTCCTCCTCCTCCTCCTCTTCCTCCTCCTCCTCCCTCTCCTCGGGTCGCCTACGGCCCCGGGGGAAACCGTGCTTTTGATGCTCCCAGAGGGGGGGGGAAGCGACACCATTTTGGCGTTGAGTGATGGGGGGGCGATCAAGGGGGGGGTTGAAGAAAGGTCCACCTCTCCACCTGTCGTGCCCGAAAAGGGCCCCTCTGGGGCGGCCCTAGAGGGGCTCGAGAGGGGTGCACGCTGCTTCGCCTCTCCACTGGTCGCCCCTCCAACAAGCAGCACCCGACACCACCACCATGAGGACCAGTTCAGCCAGGAGGTCCACGACGCCTCCCCAAGCTGGAGGCTGGAGATGCCTCGAGCGGGACCCCGCAGCACCGGGACCGACACGCCGCCAGGCAGACCCTCCCCGGCTACTGGCGACGGTGGTGGTGGTACCGATATTACGAAGTGTTTCTTGTTACCCTCTGGGTCACCATGCGCGTCATGCCTGCGCTCCCCCCTCTCATAACGTAACGCCCCCACCCTACCCCACCCCAGTGCGCTCCGGGCACTGCTGCAATGCTTCCAGCACCACAGTTTCTGGAGCCAGACCCACACGGTAGGGAGGGCGCGTTATGTTATGCCCCCTCTCTCCGCCCCCCTTCCCTCCCCCGCTCCCAAAAGCGCCCGCTATCCCCGCGAATGAAGAATACTCCCTTACGTGCTCCTGCCAGGCCTCCAGTTCGACCACGCCGGCTCCCAGGACGTGTTCGTCCAGGGCGAGTGCGACGATGCCGTGGAGGAGCTCGTGCGGCTGCTCGGCTGGCAGAGTGAGTTCCTGGAGCTCTTGGAGTCTTCCGCGGGTGCGGAATTTTCTGGCGTCGCGACAGAAACAAGCACATAGTATGTTATCTCGCTCTCACTCTCTCTCTATCTCTCTCCTTCTCTCTCTTTCTATACGTTCTCTCTCTCTCTCTTTATTGTGTTCTTCTCTCTCTCTCTATATATATATATGTTCATTTAGTTTGTTCTCTCTCTCTCTCTTTCTCTCTCTCTCTCTCTCTTTCTATATTATATATGTGTATCATATGTTTGTTATCTCTCTCTCGTCCTTTCTCTCTCTCTCTGTCTCTCTCTCACCCTCGCGCGCCATATCCACCGCCTCGCGTCCTCATCTTCTTCTCTTTCTCCCTCCTCCGCCCCCCTCCCTCCCCCTCATCCTCCCGCCGTAGCCATTCTGGCTTCAGGTCTTGTTGCCCCCGTGAATACAGTGGATACAGCTGGTCCGCGGCTGGTCTTTACCTTTGAGGAGCAGCCCTCCCTGCGACCACACCCGTGGGCAGTCCGCCCTGCCCGCAGATTCCGCCTGGGCGCTGCAGCCCCGCGCTGCCGCCTTCAGCGTCATCCACGACGCCCTCGCCATGTCTCCGTGGGAGCAGCGTGTCTGGCAGAACGGTGCTCGTCTCGGCGACAAGGGCCCTCCCAAAAGGATGAGTTCGTGCAGCGAGCCCAGAGCAAAAGTACTCGAGGCCTCCTAGATGGGATCGGAGTAGAGCGGGCCGGCGGATTGCACCGCATCGCCGATGCGGCTCGATGTGCAGCCCGATTTGCCTCACGACGACGTCGCCGATGAATCGCCAACGTCGACGACGCATCGCCGGTGAGGCGCCGGTGCATCGCCGATGCATCGCGGACGCATCGCCGATGCATCGGCGATGCGGCGTGATCCTTTGACCCCATCTACTCAGACCCCGTCTCGGAGGCCTCTAAGTACAGTTGGATCTTCAGGGCGAATCACTGGTGCGAAGGTGCTAAGGCATTGGTGCCCAACGCAGATACTGGCCGCAATCCTGGAGGGCAGTGGGCGCTCGGACCGCCAACACTGCCGCTTACCAAATGTCCGCTCGCGGCGGCCGAGGACAGCAGTGACAATCATGCGCCGGCGAAGGCAAACCTGCTCCTCCTCCTCCTCCTCCTCCTCCTCCTCCTGCTCCTCCCCTCCTCCTCCTCCTCCTCCTCCTCCTCCTCCTCCTCCTCCTCCTCCGCCTCCGCCTCCGCCTCCGCCTCCGCCTCCTCCTCCTCCTCCTCCTCCTCCTCCTCCGAATGAGCTCCAAGGCTCCAAAAGCGCCATGGAGCTCATTCGGACCGCCGCTGCACCCAGAAGTCAAGTGGTTCGTTCGGGACGACCCGGTCTGCCTCCTCGGCGCCTCGGCGACACTTGGTGGGGAGCTCACCACCCTGGTGGAGGCTGATGTTAAAGCAACGCAGAAAGCAGTGTCAGGCCCCCAGCGCAGGCCGTTTTTGGAAGTTCGTCAAGGGCCCTGCCGCTCCACGGGCCCTTGAGGTCGGCCCCCTCTTGCGCGCCGGGGCGCCCCTTGAGGCCCCTCCGTCATCGCGGGGCCAGTCGCAAGCAGCAGGGGCCCTTTTGGGCAGACCCACCGGCTTTGAGGCGCCATCTGGTTGAAGGTGCGGTTTTTTTGCCCAGGCATTCCAGGGGCAAGCCGCGCCCCGAGCATGCGCGCACGCGACCGGCGGCTGTCGTTCTTTCCAGGGCGCCCCGGAAAAAAAACAAGTCAATTGAGGTCGACGTCATGGGCCCTGTCGGCGTCCAGAGGCTTTTCCGGTGGGCGAGTGCCCCGCCGCAGCCTTCTCCTCCAGGTGGAGGTCCGTGGCGCGTGGCCCACGCGATTGATTTTGTCCGCGGGCGCCGCGGTTCCGAAATCGACGGCGGGGGGGGGCGGGCCATTGGTGGGGCGCCGTTTTGCATGGGGGCGCGGCCCAGGCAGGGTCTTTCCGCGCGCGTGGGCCATTGGTCTGAGGCGCAATCCGACTTCCGGGGGGCGGCCGCCATGGCTCCTGTTTTTTGAGGGCTGGCCTGCAGCGAGCCACCCTTGATGAAGCACCTCGCGCGCTGGGCATTGCTTGTGCATCTCTGGTTTGCACCTGGAAAAGTCTTGCGGCGACGTCGGCATGGCCCAGCTCGTGCGAGCTTCTGGTCAGCGGGACCCCCGCTCTATCGCGACCTTGGTCGAGGTCCAAGTTTGGTTCGCTCCGCGGGTCCTCCAGTCCTACTCTGCGGCGTCGGAGCTGGCATGTCTTGCCCTTTCCATTGGTGCAGGTTCTTCTCGCGGCGTGAAACTCGCACGGGTTTTCGCGGGGCCCTCAGCGGGTCGGGCGCAAATTCGGTTTCGGGGGCCGATGACATCCAGGCTCCGCGGTGCTGTGGACCTTCGTCGACGACGCCGTCGCCGAGGCCGAAGGCGCGGCCTGCGCAGTTGCGTGTCAGATGTCTCATGTCGTGCGGTCCTTTGTCTTAGTTTTTCTAGTGGACAGCAGCTTCCAATTTCCAATAAAAACCAACGCGGTGGCCCCCGATCCAGCCGACGGAGCCGCCGTAGTCCAGCAGCTGGGCGACGTTGGCATCCGAGCGTCTCTGGCGGCCCGAGCGGCGGATCTCGGGCGCGACGCGTCGGGGGCGCCCCGAGGTCTTGCGAGGGTGCCAAGAGCCGCCAGAACAGAGCCAAACTGAGATCCAGCAGGATGCGGAAGCATCGCCGACATGCGAAGTTCGCTCAAGTCTCGCAGGGGGCGCGCCTTAAAGGAGCCCCCCACTTGGCCGCGGGCCTCCAACCTTCTCCCAGCAGAGCCTCGCGTAGACAAGCGGGGACAGGCCGTCTCCAGCAAGGCGCCCGCTAGGTGCCTCACTGCTGCGATCCAGGCATTTCTTTCCGCGCGCAGGTGATCCAACCCGGGTTTCCAGCCTTGCACGCCCGCGCCCACACTTCCGTTGGAAGCACGTCAGGGGCTGCATTGCAGCTATTATAGCCACTCTCCAGGACGCTTCTTGGCTCCTGATTTCCCCCGCGGCGTGGCGTAGGCCCAAGGATGGGTTGCATTAAGTTCAGACTGTTCCGGACTTTGAGGGGTCTGCAAGACCCCCCGGGCGGTTTTGATGTTGCTGAGTTGTTAGCTGATTCGCAGGACATTTGCAGTCCGTCGTGGGCACATGCCCCCAGGCCCCGAGCGTCTCCATGGCGACGGCCTCCAATTTGGCATTGGCATGCTTCCGCGCAGGCGGGAGATTTTACGGCGCAGTCGCAAGGGTGAGTTTGGAAAGATCGGGCATCTTTTCGTCGCGGCCTCTGGAGGCCAGTGGATTCGCTCCAGGCGGCACTCAGCTGGCCACGTCGTTCACCCGCGCTGTCCTTGATGCGGGGGGCTGGGGGGGGGCCTTCCCGCCACCAAACATGGACCTGCGCCTTGCCATCTGGTTGCGCTGCATACCACCTCTCCACCTCGCGCGCGTCGGCGCCACTGACGGGGCGGGCGCGGCTCGGGGGGCGGGGGCGGAGGTGCGCGATGAGCCCGATACTTTCCAGTTGGCCAGTGACCCGGACGGGTTGCCGTGAGGTTTCGGCGGCGGTTCAGGCGGTTGATTAAACCCTGTGCGGGCGATAATAATACCCGGGGGATAATAAAGTTCGGGGGTCTTGCGGGGATAATCAAAGGATATCCCGGGGAATGTGAAGTTATGGCGATGATGATGGTGATGATGATGATGATGATTATGATGATGATGATGATGATGATGATGATGATGATGATGATGATGATGATGATGATGATGATGATGATGATGATGATGATGTTGATGCTGATGTTGATGACGATGACGATGACGATGACGACGACGACGATGATGATGATGCTGATGATGATGATGCTGATGATGATGGTCATGATGAGCATACTGATCATGACGATGGTGATCTTGGGCGCTCGGCACAAGGCTGACCCGAGAGATCTCGATGCTCGTAGCTACAACTTGCCAGCAGGCGCTCGGCACAAGACTGACTCGAGAGACCCTGAGGCTCGTGCCTACAACCTGCCAGCGCAAGAGAGGTCCTTGGCCTCTCTGGCCGTTCTGGCCAATTCGCAACTTCCCCCGTGGATCATCAAGTTCGGCCTCCGCGCCCCTATCCACAATGAAATCTTATCGAACGGGGATAGTAAAAATAGAGGGGGTGAAGGGGGGTATGTTTTACCATCGCCCGCACGCGGTTATGTCTGACCCTCGCCGTCGGCGCGTCGGCGTTGGTGTTGCTAGTGTTGCAAAGTCGGGCTCTTCTGGGCGCCGCTCGAAAGGGTCGACTTGCCCCCTGGCGGGCAAGCGCCGCACTGTGCCCAGAGCGGAACTCCTTGCCTTTGAGCTCGCTCCGCTGAACGTCCTCGGCAGGTTCGAGCTTGCCACTGACCGCGAAGCCATTCTCATTGGCTGGCGACGAAGACGGCGGGGGCACTGTCAAGGGGCTAACTCAGACCTGTGGCTCGGGATTCGTTTGGCCCTTTTGGGCCGCGAGGGCTTTGTCCAGGTCCGCTGGGCGCCCGCCACTTGGGCCCCGCGGCACCCGAAGCTAAGATGGACGAGGCTCGTCTGGCCATGCGGTGGCGGGCGCGCTTTGCTGCCGCGGCGGCGGGGGGGGGCTGGCCCGCCGCCGCCCGCGGGCCCCGCGTCTTTGACGCCGGTTTCTGGTGCGCCAGTTACCGTCCAGACATAGAAGGGTCGCCCAGGCCTTGGTCGATTGCCTTTCCCACTGCCCTTTGGCAGACCAGAAGGCCCAGGCATAGGCTCCAGGCGGCCTTCCGCGGGGCCAGCACTGGCCTCTACGAAGCGCGAGGCCAGCGCGCGCGTTCGTTGTGCGATCATGTTTTTTGCCGCCCAGCTCGATTTCTGACGCCCGCGACGAACCCCAGGTCGGGCCTGTCCTTCTACAGGGCGGCGTGGAAGAAAAATATGTAACAAACAAATATTCCAAACATTCAAACAATATTCAAATTCGTCCTCAGACGATTCTTCGGTATCCTGAATATAAGCCAGAGTTAACACGAGCCCTGCTCTGTCGGCGAGGGCCGCGCATACTTCCCCTGCGCTGGCGGGGCGCGCGCGGCACTGGGGTTCGGGGCCGTCGTTGGGCAAGCCTTGCGCCCAAGCCATTATTTGCCGCGCTGGCCCAGGCACCCCCTTGTTTCTGGTGCCACTCGTGGCAAAACCACAATGGCTCGGGGAGTGCTTTGGGACGCACCAGAAGGAATTCTGGAACTTATAGCGCATTTTGTCTCGCAAAGGCCTCTTCCCTGGGCGCAGAGCTGTCATGGAAGCCGCCGGCAGCGCCAGCAGGCGCGAGCGCGCTCGCCGCACCATGGTGACTGGAGCGTTTTAGGTGCGCTCGGCACGTGACTGCGCCGTGGGAGAAGCGTTCAAAGAAGAATGCCCCATCCATCCTTCGGATATCTTTCCTCGCAGTGGTTCTCCTGCTCATTTTCCTCATCTTTATCCTCCTCAACGGAGAACAGTCATCCTTGTCATCATTCTCGTTCTCCTCCTTTTATAGACACCCTTAGTCCTCTTTCCCCATTGTGCCTCCTCCTGGACTCGAGCATCGTCGTCCCCCCCCTGTTCGCAGCCTCCTCTCGCGAAAGTGCCACCTCTCTCGCTCTCTCTGCCCCTTTTCCGCCTCTCTGTGTCTAGAACCCGCGCGTTCCATTTCTCATCCCTGCTGGCCTCCTTCGCCTCGCCTTGGGGGGGCATGTCGATCCGCACCCATGCTTGCTCCGAACCCCCTTACTGCGCCCACCAAGGCCGAATGATCCTGGCCACGCCCTCCCCCTTCGCTGTCCTCGCCGCTCGGTGTTGCGCCGCGCGTCGGTCCCCCCGTCAGCCACCCCGGCATCCTTTTCGGTTCTCCCCCCGCCGCACTTCCCAGAGGGCAGGGGGGGGGGTAGCACGACGCCGAGCAGGATCGGGACCCTCCTCCATGCCCCCCCCCCTTCTGTCCCCTTTGTCATCATCCCGTCTCCTCCCCCCTGCTGCCTCCCCCTCCCTCCCTCGTTTCAGGAAGCCGCTGCCTTTACGTGTTTGGTGGCCGGTGGAGTGGAAAACACATTCGGAGGATGAGAGAGACGGGTTACGCAGAGGGCGCGGGCGGAGGAGGAGGCGATGAAGGAGTGGAAACGGTGGGAAGAGGGAGGGGGAAGGAGGAGGAGAAGACGAAGTAGGGGAAAACGGGGGGGAGGGAGGGAAGAGGAAAAGAAGGAAGAGAAGGAGGGAGAGGGGGAGAATTCGCCGTGTATTCAGAGCTTGTGATTCTAGCCGCGTTGGGGGACGAGCGCAATACGAGCTCCAGGAGGAGGAGGAGGAGGAAGATAATGAGGAGGAGGAGGAGGAGGAGGAGGAGGAGGAGGAAGGGGGGAGGGTGAAGGAAGGGGAGGAGGGGAAGGAGGAGGAGGAGGAGGAGGAGGAGGAGGGGGATGCAAAGGAGGACGAAGAGGAAGAGGAGAGCAGGAGGAGGGGCGGGAGGAGTGGGTGGAAGAGGCGGAGGAGGGGCTGGATGAGGAGGGGCGGTGGAGGGGGAGGGGAAGGAGGAGGGGCAATCAAGAGGGGTGGCGCCCGCAAGCCCCAGCGGCCGGGGGCGGCCGCAGGAACGTGAAGCGCGTGCTCCACGCCGCGACCTCCGAGGCGCGCGCGCGCAAAGGGGGTGGCGCGCGCCCGCGGCGACGACGACATCGACGACGACGATGACGACGACGACGACGACGACGACGACGACGGCGGCGGCGGCGGCGGCGGCGTCGACGGCGTCGCCACCCTGCTGGCTCAGCCCCCTCGCGATTTGCGCCGGTCCTTGGCGGTTGCTCGGCCTCGGGGTGCTCTCCAGCAGTTGCGCGCCCCGCCGAGGACGTTCCGAACGGCCGCCCGGATCGTTCCGAACGGCCGCCGGGCAACCGAAGTACAGCTCGGAGGCAGAGGGGCAGCGTTTGGGGGAAGGGCTCAAGCCGTCGACTCCGACGCCGACGGCGACGAGAGTGACGAGAGCGACGACGACGAGGGTTCCAAGGCCGACACAGACGACGACGGCGACAAGGACTCCGAGGTCGACGAGGACGACGAGAGCGACAACGGCACTGGCGACGACGACGACGACGATCGAAGTCCCATTGTTCTACCGTAGCACCCCGCAGATGCGGATAAGAGTGAGGGGGCGATGGGAACGTCGGCAGTTTGCGAGACTCTGGAGAAGCCCGCCGCAGGCGCCGATTTTTTCGTTAAACCAATGTGGGTGGGTCGCGGGTGGGTCGCAAATGGGTCGTGGGTGGGTCGCAGGTGGATCGTTGTTGGGTGGCGGGTGGGTCGCGGGTCGGTCGCGGGTGTAGGGCAGAAAATTCACCCCATAATAATCACCCCGACCAGCGAAGCCGTTTAGTAAACGCACACAAGGAATGAATCGAACAGGGCAGGGTTGTTTACTAAACGCCCAGGCCCGTTTAGTAAACGTCAATTGTCGGGTCCGGGTGGTTTTTCCTCCTTTTAGGGTGGGTCGCGGATGAGTCGCGGGGTGGGTCGCGGACGGGTCGCGGGGTGGGTCGCGGGTGGGTCGCGGGGTGGGTCGCGGGTGAATCGCGGGTGGGTCGCGAGGTGGGTCGCGGGGTGGGTCGTGGGTGGGTCGCGGGTTGGGTCGCGTGGTGGGTCGCGGGGTGGGTCGCGGGGTGGGTCGTGGGTGGGTCGCGGGTGGGACGACGACAACAAACAACAACAACAACAGCAACGACAACAACAACAACAACAACAACAACTCAACAAGCAGAATTCTAACCACGAATTCCTTATTCAGCCACGCACCCAGGGACAATGAATGATCGTTCGGCCCCCTCACTCTGACATAATCAGTGTTGAAAGTTCGAATAGATAGTGTAATTATGTTGTGTAGTTTGTTCGTAATTCTGGATGCGTTCGTGCCAACATGGGTTGGCTTAGTGGTTGTTGGAGCTCTTTCGGGGGTCGTGGACGTACTTTGCTTCGGGGGTTCTTCGGAGGCTTCAGTGACGCACATGTCGATATACGCGTATTCACACATGCGCATGCGTCCACATATATATATATATATATATATACATAGAAATGAATGCCCCCCAGCAACCATGCTTACCAGTATTCACTTACGACGGTGGTGCTCTTCCTTCCCTCCTCCTCCTGTCATCCACCTCCCCGATTCGTCATTTATCTGCTATTTTCTCGTGCCGGAGCCTCCTTGCATTCAGCTGGATTGGGGATTTGCTCAATCCTAATTCGATTCGAATTCGATGTCAATAGGGATTCAATTGGACACAGCTGGATCTTGGATCTGATACATTTCAATTCCATTATAATGGTGATATATGTGGAGCCAGCTGGATCTGTGATCTGCCCAATTCCAATTCGATCCCAATTGGAATCCCGATTGGACTCAGCTGGATTTGGGATGTGCTCAATTTCAATCAACTTTAGTTCAATTCCGATGGGAATCCAATCAGAATCACCTGGATCTGGGATCTGCCCCAGCCCAATGCCAATAGGAATACTGGTGGAATCAGCTGGATCTGGAATCTGCTCAATTCTCATTCAAGCTCAATAGGAACATGTGTGGAATCAGCTAGTCATGATCTGCACCATTCCTAGTCGTCATAGGAATCCATTCTGAATCTAGGTCCCAATAGGAATCTGATTGAAATCAGCTGAATCTAGGTTCCGCTTAATCCCAAGGTTTCAAGTGTGTTCCAATTGGAATCTACTTGTAAACAGTTGAATCTGGAGTCTGCCCCCCTCTCTCGCTCTGGTTCTCTCCCTCTTTCTCTCCCTCTCTGTATATTTGTTTCTCTCTCGCTCTTTTTCTCTATGTCCCTCTTCCTCTATTCCCCTCTCTCTCTCTCTCTCTTTCTCTCTCTGTCTCTCTTTCTCACTCTCTCTCTCTCTCTCTCTCTCTATATTCCCGACACCCAGCGCAATCCCCGTGAAAAACACCAGGTGAGCGATGCCAGGAGTGCAGAATCCCTGTGTTGTCATTCGGATGTGTTTGAGTGTTCTGTAATGAGAACGAAGAGTTCAAGGACCGATGCGAACTAAACGGGTGTTTAGGGGGCGTCGCGCACACACACACACACACACACATATATATACAAACATACATACATACATACATACATACATACATACATACATACATACATACATACATACAAACATATTATATATACATAAAGCATACATAAATGTGTCTGTGTAATACAGGTTCACCAAGCACTGCGTGCACGTAAGAGTTCTTACCTCTGCTGGGAAGTTACTCTGTGGGTTCGTCGGGGTGCGCCTGGTGGGCGGCCGTTGGCGCCCCCCGTGGGCGCCCCCGTGCGCTGGCGGAGTGAATCAGCTGCCGAGGCTTCGCGCGGTGGGCGCCTCGCGGGCGTCCAGTGCGCGCTGGCTGTCCAGGGAGAGTTCTTCGCCAGGTCAGTGCGAGGTGGAAGCTCGACCGGAGTGTGTCCTCAGCTCTTTTGGGTGCACGCTACGGCGAGTCCTAAGTCGGGCCCGTCCCTCCACATGAGGAATAGTCAAAGATAGTCAACTGATGGTTTGGGGGCGATGTTTTGAACATTCTTTGACTATTTTTCAATTTTTCGCCCATCCGCCTCGCCTGTAGGGGGACATGCCCGACCTAATGCGAGTCTGCTGATCGTGTGTGTACTGCTCAGGGAAGGGTCCGGAAGGATTGCTGCTTGGGGGGGGGGGCCCAGGGGGCTCGTCCGGCCTGCTTGCAATACCAACCATTGTTCGGCGGCGAGCGAGGGGGGGAGGTGAGGAGGAGGAGGCCTTCTCAGAAGGCCGCGGGACTTCTCAGAAGTCTTCGCGCCTTCTCAGAAGCTTGTTGCACCTTCGGGGAAATCTTTTTGAAAACTTTTCAGAAGGCCGGGGCACTTCCGAGCCTTCTGAGAAGGCCTCCTCCTTCTTATGTCCCCCCAGGGTTCGCCGCCGAAGTGCGATCCACGCCACAGAAGCCTTGAGCCGGATATGGGTCAGGCCCGACTGCCGGGGGCGATGCTCCGAGCTGGCGGCACGCCGTCTGGGCCCGGCGGGCCCGTGTGCCAGGTCTTCGCCATGAAGATCATCGCGTCGTCGCAGGTCCGCGAGCGGGACGCGAGCTCGTACCTGAACAGGGAGGCGGGGCGGCGGCGTCCGCGCTCGTGCCTCGGGCTCCTCGTCCTCCTCGGCCCTCCTGGAGGCCGCCTTCTTCTCCGCCTTCTCTCCCCCCCTCCCTTCCTCTTCTCCGCTGCTGAAGTAAGAAGCAGTTGGGGTTCCGGAGGGGCTCGACGTTCCTTGGGTCCTTCCCTGGCTGCTCCTCTCGGGAGGGAAGAAAGGCCGGGTCGCACCCGAGGCCGGGCTGGGGCGCAAATCCCAGGGAACAGCAATTGGGCTTCGGGTGTGTATGTCACGCGCTGCAATCTGGCACGGGCCAAGTGAATCGCCCCTCCATAGCATAGCGCATAGTTAGAACAGCAGAGGTGCAGCGCGCGTCACAAAAACAATATGACAAGGTCATCCGTGCTCTTTGGGCGACTGCGTGAGTTCTGCGGGCCTCCTTGAGGGGGAGCTCGCCTTCGATTGTTTTTCCTGCGCCACCGAGGGTGGGCGACTGTTGTTGCGGGCGGTCGTGGGCAGCGCCCCGGGCCCCCGCAGGGCTTCGGCGGGGCCTGGGGGTTCCGCGGGGCGCGTTTCCGACGAGCGCCCCAGGGCGAACCGTCAGGATCTCGGCGTCGCCCTGCAACAACGGCGCTGTTGTGGGGCCCTTGCATGCGGAACAAGACACCATGGAAACCACGCCCACCGACCCGTCGAGATCTCAGTTTCTACCGACAGCAACGCGTTTCGACCGTCGAGGACGGAGTTCTGCCGTCGGGAGGGAGTCCGGCGCGCGCTGCCGTAGGGCCGGCCTCCAGGGTCCGACGGCCCCGCGGGGATCGGTGCGCAATGTGTCCCAGATGGCTCCAAGAGCCCCTCCGAGGCCGCTCGTAGAGCTCCAAGAGAGCCCCGCGAGGGCCCAAAACGGGGGACGAAGATCTTTCCAGAAAGCCTCAATAGGGACCCACTACCCCTTCACACTACCCCCAGGAGGGCCCCCAGAAGCCCAGGGAGGACCCCGGACGTACGCGACGCGAGTGTTCGGGTGGATACCGAGTTGCACATTGCGTAGTTCAGGTTGCTCAGGCACGCTGCAGCCAGCTTTTCATGAGCGAGTCCAAGGCAATTTTCTCGGCCAGCCCCACCTGGCCCAGAACCCCACTTTTGGTCCCTCCCGATCCTCTAGTCCTCCTCGTGCATGCAGGCGCTTTGGGGGCCAAAGAGGGGCTTCGTTCCTCACTGATCGTTCCCTGTTGCAGCAGCCCGACCTGTGGGAGATTCGGTGCTGGTCTCGCAGTTCCGATGCATGCCGGCGCTCTCCAGAGGTGCAGGATCCCAGAGGCCACATCGCACCACCCGCCCAGTCCCCAGTCAGACCCGGGCGACGGCCCCCAGAGATGATCGTTCCCTCGCCCGTCGTTCGGCCCGGGCGGCGCGAAGACGTGGCGCAGGGCGGTCTTTTTCGCAGCCTGCGTCTCAACGGGGCCGTGTTCGAGAAGATGGTCCCAGGGATGGTGTCGAGAACTTGGGGGCCCGCGCCGCGGGTAAGACAACACGGTATGGTTCTTCCTATATTTTGCCCTACCATGTTTGGGATTGCGGGAGCGCGAAGGTCGTCGCGCCTCGCGGTCCGGGTCATGGCGTCTGCTCTTCTCCAAGGGGGCGGCGCGAGGGCGCGAAGATGGTCGCGCACTTCGCGCGGCGCGTTGCGCAGGGTTGGGCGACCTGGTTATGTCTCAGTGTGTCGTGCAGCCGGGTGCGGGCGAGGTGTCGGTGCAGCTCAAGGCGCGACACCCGAACATCCTGAGGCTGCTCAGCTACTTCGAGGACCTCCGCCGCCGCGCTTGCGGGGACATGGGTGCGGCGTCACCGATACACGAGAAGTTGACCGACTCGTGACATACGGTAGGTTCGTGTCGTGTCGACGCGGCTGCGACCCCAGCGCGGGCGTTCAAGGGTGAACGCCGCCAGTGGCCCAGAATCGGCCAGTACGGAACGGTCTGGCGGTCGAGAAGTTGCCGATCGTCCGAGGGTGACCGATGCACGTGGTGTCAGGAATCGGCGCTGTGGTCGTCACGACATGAAGTGGCAGTAACAGACGACAAACGGTACCGAAGGTCGATACATGAGTAGTTATTGAAGCAGCAACGTGTTTCTACGAAAGGAGTGAGTGCCATTATGGCGCATTGTTGCTACACATGCAACTGCATTTACGCCGTCCAGAGAGCGAAGCTTCCAATACACATGTTGTGGTCGCTCTCTGCATTTCTGACGAGTTCGCAAGTCTAGCGAACTGAGTTGATGTTCGCGCGACAGGAGCGTCTGCGCTGTACGTGTGCAGCGAGTGACGATGAAGCCAACGGCGACGACGGAAAGGGCAGTCGTGGCGACGACGACGACGACGAGGGGAACCGATACATATATATATATATATAGCAGATCCAGCACAAGGGTCGAGAACAGCCTCCGCCCCAGAGGAGCACCCTCAAGTCGGGCGCGTCCCTCTACAGGAGGAAAATTCAAAACTAGTCTAAAATGTCTTGGGGACGGTTTTTGAGTATTATTGAGCATTGTTTGTTATTTTCTGTGTATGTCTAATTGTTTCCAAAATCCGCCGCCTGTAGGAGGACATGCCCTACCTACGAGTACCCTCACGCTCTTCCCGCTTGGGCTCTCCACCCTGGAGCCTGGGAGTCCCCGGCCTTTTCGGCCCAGGGGCCCGCGTTCTTGTCTGGGCCTCCTAGATGGGGTCGGAGGGTCGCGCCGCATCGCCGATGCATCGGCGATGCGGCTTGGAGCCCGATTTTCTCCACGCCGATGGCGCTGATGCCTCGCCGACTTCGCCGATGCATCGCCGATGCATCGGCAAGGCATCGCCGATTCATCGGCGATGTGTCGCCGATGCGGCGCGATGCTCCGACCCCATGTGCTCGGATCCCATCCAGGAGGCCCCCATCTTGGCCCATGCCACCCGAGCGGCGATCAGAGGACAAGCGGGTCCCCAGAGCAGCTCTCCGACGATGTGGGCTGTTCCATCCAGTGGTTTTACTCGTCGGCCGCGGCCTCGGGGGCCCGTCAGCGGGCCCCCGGGGGGGGGCAGCGAAGAAGGACCCCTTGGAGCGCAGCATGGGGCAGGGGTAGGGGGGGGAGCTTCCCTGGGGTAGGGGTCGGGACTTCCCTGGGGCCGCGCATGGAAAACATCCGACCTCGACCGCGCGCAGAGTTAGGGGGAGGGGGGGGGAAGGCTTCTTAGAAGCACCCCTGCTTCTGAGAAGGCGCGGGCCTTCTCTAATTATACATGTGAGGCTGGTGCCTCGCGCCGCCAACGATCACCCGATGTCCAGATCCTGAGGTTGTCCAGACTCCTGGGAGCATCACACATGCATCCGCGGCGACAATTTGCCCATGGGGTAGGGGTCGAGACTTCTGGGGCCGCACATCGTCGGATGCATGTGCTCTGATGTTTTTCGCCGTCTTCGGGCTCCCACGGGCCCTCCCCAGTACTCGGGTCCGTCAACAGAAACGACGCGGGATGAAGAGCTCGTCCCAGGGAAAAGGCCCACTTGGATTACCGCGGGGGGTGCTAAGTTCAGAAGGAGTTATACGTGGATGTGAAGGTGGCCCATGCCTGGCCTGACCGAGATTCCAAGTAGATTGTACATGCCCCGAATGGCTTACAAGATAAGTGGGCTCCGCCCGCTTAGCGCCCAGATCTCTGCCCCCCCGTCAGCCGCTCAGGGCACTTGCAACCCACTCATAAGCTAGGTTTGGCCAGATAGGACTCATCTCAACATCCATTGTAACCCCCCAGGGTCCGTGGGACCCGTTTCTGTGAGGGGCGTACCCTAGTGCCCTTCGGCCAGGTTTTGTTGGGACCGTTCGCGGATCTCCAGAGGTCCAAGCTTGTATACCCGTATGTGTTTGCTTGTGTGCGTGTGTGTGTGTGTGCATGTGTGTTTGCTTGTTTGCGTGTGTGTGCATGTGTGTTTGTGTGTGTGTGTGCGTGCGTGTGTGTGTGTGTGTGTGTGTGTGTGTGTGCGCGCGCGCGCGTGCGTGCGTGCGTGCGTGCGTGCGTGCGTGCGTGCGTGCGTGCGTGCGTGCGTGCGTGTGTGTGTGTGTGTGTGTGTGTGTGTGTACGTGTGTCAGTTGTTTTTCAATGTGGTTTGTTTGCTTATCTTCGGCCTCTGGGGGGCGTGCCCTTCAGGCCAAGATGCCCGCGGAGAAGGGTTTGAGAATTCTGGGGCCGCGGATTTTGGAAGCATGCATCGGATGTGTGGGAAACCGTCTGGTGATAGATGGTCCAATGACGTCGAGGTCAATGACGTCGAGGTCCCTAAGATGAGACCCGACGGCCTGTCAGCGGACTGCTTGTTGTCCCCAGGATGGCCGGGGAATTCGAGATACCCTTGGAGAGCGACCCATGCCCCGGAACGGCCCCGCTCACCCCGATGCACATCATACTCAACAGACGTTGTGGTCAACGGACCGTTGGGGGGACATCGGGATTTTGATGAAGGGAGCGGATGGCCGGGGGGTCTTCATCGAGGGTTTGTTGTCTTTTCTCCGATCGATATGCGGGGACAAAGCCAGATAACGTCAGCGCAAGTTGGCATTCGATTCGATGCACGACCTTGAGGGACGGAGGCTAATCCAGAGGCATCCAGACAACAATCCAGGCCTCAAGCGCGGAAAACCCAGCGCGAGTGGAGGAACAACATCAGACGCCGAGCCCAAATGGTAGCGACCCCAGAGATCCGCGCGGACTTCCGAATTGTGATAGTTGCATTTGTTCCTTATATATTGCTCCTGCTGGGGTGGGCGGGGAGGAAGGACTACAGTCAACACATATAGTAAGGATGAGCGATCTCCTTCTGCCCATCCTTGGCAAATTTTGCTGGCCGCGGCCCGCTCGACAAGTGTCGACAGGGCCCTCCGAGGCCCATGCATCCTTATCGTGCATCCTTATTGTCCGCGCTGACTGCAAGGAAGGCGTATATAGTGAGGGGGGAGGGAGAGAAGCAAGGACTGGAGAGGCGGGGTAGCCCGCTGGGATCGGGATGCAGAGGGGGATACTCGGAGCGGAAGGAAGGAACGACCGTCGAAATCTTTGACCAGTCGACAGGACATCAGCGAGCACAAACCTCCCTCTTCATCCTCCCCATCCTCTCTGGATCCCCCCCCGAAGCCCGCGAACCTCTAGAACCTTCCTCGAACACCTACACCGTCCTTCCCTCCTCCTGCTCCTCCCGTAGCCCTCCCTCCGCCCTTCTCGTCCCTCCCAGCAAGAATCCGCTAAACATCGGCCCCCGCGCTTCTCCCAGGCACCACCATCCCGACCAGATGCGGGCGCACCCGCCCAGTGGGCAACGAGGGGCCGCTGGAGGGCCCAGAAGAGGAGGACCGTCAGCAGCAAGTGTTGTTACCCTCCCGTGGCATCGCTCGGACATGTGCATCTCGTCTCGGCATCATCGAGGCACATCTTGTATCATCTGGCGAAACAAAAACGCACGAAGTCGAAACATGCACGTGGAATGGACGTCCGAGGAATTGCGAGCTCCTCTGTTTTCCGCCCCCTAGGGGGCGCCCGGACCTCTCTTGAGGGACGCTCTGGCCAGAATGTCGAGGCGGATCCAGCCGCGAACACGAGGGCGCCCAAGGAGGCCCCAGATGTTCAAAGCAGTTTCCATAATTACATGATTGCCAGCGTGGACCCCGAACATGGGGTCATACCGTGCTATGCAGTGCAGTCCAGTTTCGCGGTGCAACACATTTGGTGCAAACTACGTGGTGCTACATATCCGGTGCAATCTACGTGGCGCAAATACTGTTGTGCAATCTATGCGGTGACATCTATGTGTTGGAATAGATGTGGTCCAATATATGCCATGTAATCTATGCGGTGCAATCTAAGTGGTGCAATCTCTCCAGTGCAATCTATGTGGTGTAAGCTATGCGGCAGCGGCGACGGGCGGCGACGGCGACAACAAGCGCGGCGACCGCCGGCCCGACCCAGAAGCAGCGGCGACGGAGGGCGGTGGCTGCGGCAACAAGCGCGGCGACCGCCAGCCAGGCCCAGTAGCAGCGGCGACGGACATCGGCAACGGGCGGCGTCTGCGACAACAGGCGCGCCAGACCGCCACCCGGGCCCAGCTCCTTAGACCACAAGAGAGAACCTCTAAGATCAAGCACTGGTTAGGGAAAAGGACATCCAAGTCGGCCCCTGGACTTCTGCTGGGGTCCATCCCGGCCCCAGCGGCTCGAGACGGGCCCCCAGGTGCCGAGACCTCGGGAGCGGTTTTGTTGTCCGATCTTGGTCGCCCCGGCTGTCCCTCCCGTCATTCTCGTCATCCCCTCTTTCCGCGATCTGTCGGAGTGGGCTTCGACGCGATGCAGCTCGGGCTGCCCTGCGAGCTGGACTTCTTTCTCGAGCGGCCTCTGAGGAAGTGTCGTTGGCGCCCGCGGCCGCGTGCGCGTACAGGGGGGCTGGCACCCGCCCCTCCGAGACGCGCGGATCTGCTCTCCTCCTCCACCTCCTCCCCCTCCTCGCTCCTCCTGTTCCTCCCATCCTCCTGCTCAGCCGCCACAGCCTCGTCCAGCGTGCGCCACTCCCCTGCCCCGATCGCGCATGACACGATGAGGCGTCCTTCCTTTGGAGAACCATTCCCGCTGCGACACCCGTCGGCGGACACAGAAGCTCTCCCCCAAGACGGGAAGGGGTCAGTGGGAGTGGCAGGACGCGAGCGCACCCGGCTTGCCGTAGACACGCTAACGGCGAGGCAGGTCACGGCGATGCAGACTTCGGCGTTGTGGGTGGGGTGGCTCGTGGCCGACCCAGTTGTAGGAGAACGTGGTTCGTGGTTTACTACATTTACCCGTGCCGTCTTGATTCGACACATTCGCATGTCTGACATGTAGGAGCGTGTGGTTCGTGACTTCCTACAACTCATTCTTGAGCGACTTCGGCGCCGACAAAACACCAGACGCCCAAAATCGCCGTTCATCAACATCGCCGTGAGCGTAGCGTGGCCTTGGGCTTGTCCCCCCCCTCTCCCACCCCGGCCCCCATCGACCCCGCGCTCCGCGCCGGAGGATGTTAGGACGGGGGAGAAGGGAGGATGGGGAGGTCCTTTCCCTCCTCATTCTCCTCCTCTTTCTCCTCCTCCTCCCTCTAGCACCTATGTTATGGTGGTGGTGGAAAATCGGCCCATCAGAGGACGCCGACCACGTCTACATGCTGCTCGAGTTCGCGCGGGACGGCTCCCTGTACGACATGCTGCAGAGCGGCGGGCGGCTGCGGGAGCCGAAGGCGCACCCACTGCCTCGGCACCGCGGGAGGGCGGAGCTCGAGGACCGGAGCCCGTCCTGCATTGGAGACTCATCCCTAGAAACACCTCCCTCCTCCCTCCCTGCCTCCTCCCTCTCCTCCCTCTCTTCATCCTCCTCCTCCTGCCGCTGCGGGCCACACGCTCTCCTCCTCCTCCTCCTCCTCCTCCTCCTCCTCCTCCTCGTCGCCCGCGACGCCCCTTTGGAGCCCCCTGGGAGCGCCCTAGCAACGCCCTCGGAGCGCGCGGAGACACATCGGCCCTTACAGTGGGAGCCCATGCCAAGAAACACCCTGCTTGCCTCCAGGGTTCCCTGGGTCTCTTTGGTGTCGATGGTTTTGCTGTGGGAAGCGTGACGTTCCCACACCAAACATCGATGGACGTCCTGGGGTCTCAGGGTTGGGTTTCTTGTGGAAGGTGTCTTGTAGTCTTGGAGCTCAAGGACCGAAGCATGTTCTAGGGTTCAGTCGGGCGTGTCCCTCTACAAGAGGAATCTCCCTCTACAGGAGGAACCCTCGACAATGTTTTATTTCTCTTTTCACAATCCGCCTGTAGGAGGACATGCCCGACCTAATTCTAGGGCCTCCCCGGCGGACCTCGGTTGCCACGGCTGACTCGAAGCAGATCGAAAAGTTGGACAGGGTGGGCTAAGCCCGAAGCACCACGTTGGCTCCACGAGAAGATCGACATCCACCAGCACGTGTCCACCCTGTGATCGTCGCCGAGCTGCCAAGGTAAGCATCAGAGCCACAAGACCAGGCCCCCACCGTTCGAGTCCCAAAGCGCCGGGGGGTCGGCTGCGATTTTGAGCGGTTTCTAGAATCTTCGATAAGGGAGCACGGGTGTGGAGGAAAAGGAGCTTGGTTTTTGGTCGACATTATCAGCGTTGAGAAACTCTGGATGAAACTTCGGTCCCAGAGAAAGCGCCAGCAACGTTAGGGGGGGATAGTTCTGCTCGCAAGGGATGCATCGATACACTATCGCCCATTCACTGCCGAGAGGGGCCTGATAAGCCCACCCCGCCCATTCATCCTTGATCTATCGGCGATGTGTCGCCGATCCAAGCTCGACGTTCCCCCCCTGAGTTGGTCCCCCCGCCAACGTTGCCCTTTATTAGAGCCTGGCTTGCCGGGACCCATTGCAACGAGGAGCCATTTGCCTCCTGCCGCCGCTTTGCCCCGCTTCAGGGGCCGGGGAGCGGGTTCGAGGAGGATCGAGGAGCGGGTCAGGTTTCGAGGATCGACGTTATTGGATGTGTTGGGCCTCCAGAGACCTTGTGGGGGCGTCCAAGGACCTCCGTGGACCCCTCTAGAGAACTCTGGTGATCTCTGGGGATCTCCTCCTCCCCAGACGTCCCCCTACACACTGCCCATGTCGTCGAGGCAGGAGCTTCCCGTACGTCCCGATGCGGTGTGGCGTTGTTTCGTGCCTGCAGGAGCATCCTTCGGGTAATACGTCGGAGTGGATGGGTGCAGCTTTCGGGTCGCGATTGGCGTCGGGCCAAATTGACGATCTCCCGACATACCGTGTGTGATCCTCCATGCCTGATCGGTAATCTTCTCCCCAGGCACGACGCTCCAAGGCCTCCGTGGACCGAGTATCGGTCAGGCTGCAGGGACACATTCCGTGCGTGCACGTTCTTGCCGTTGTCATTTCCCACAGTTAGGACGCCAATAATGGACACGGACAAAAATGGGTACAATGCCCAACGATTAATGTTGTCCCACACCAGCAGCGGCCGTTGTTGGGCAGGCGGCTTTCTGTTTCAAATGGACAGTCCGTGGCGACACCGACAGCGAGCCCTGTTCAAAATGAACAAGAATTGTTGTCGGTCATTGTACCCATTTTTTCCGTACCCATTTCGACCGTCCCGAGCTAGGTATCGCCCAGTTTCTTTCAGCATCGTTTTGGGACAACAACATGGGGGACGGGTCCACACTATCCATCATTAGACCTCGTTTCCAGAACATCGATCCGTGTTTCTGTGCCCATATCTATTTATCCACCGGCGTGCTTCGCATCGGCCGCGTTCTCTCTCTCTCTCTGTCCTTCTCTCTCTATCATTATTTGTCTCTCTCTCTCTCTCTCTATATATATATATACATGTGTATAGATGGGACAACAGACGGGACAATCATGGGACAACGATTGGACAACCACAGGACAACCACGGGACGGCTTGGGACAATATTTGGAAATTCGAGAGGCACCCATGGACATCCAGGGGGACATCCACGGGACATCGAGCAGGATTTCTGTCGATTTCAACATCAGCAATTTGCCTATCAATATCGATATCTAGATGTTGTGTTATCCAAATATTTAAGTCGCACCATACATATACATATACGGTAGCCCCTCCCCCCCAGGGGACTCCATCTTGATATATGCAATGGAGGAAGAGGAAGACGACGGAGAAGAGGAGATTATGGAAGGAGAGCTTCGTGGTCAATGGGGGCCCGCTGCTAAGTCACAGTGGGAATAAACCACGCAGGGGTCCACATCATGCTTCCTGTTCTCATTCGTCTCGTCCTTCGTTGTTCTGTGTCGTTTCCTCGTCCACCGTCGGTCTGTCCCTTTCTTCCTCATTATTCCAAACTGTTGCAACTACACGTTGCCCTCGCCCTGAAAGGAGGAGCAATCTGATGAAGAGGAGAAAATATGAGGAGGAGAGATAAGGAACATGATGAGGAGGACGGTTGAGGATCAACGAGGATCAGGCGGAGGAAAGGAGAAGGAGGAGGAGGTCTTAAAGTAATTTCCTATGGAAGAGGTTCCCGTCTGAGAGGGCCCAGAAAAGCGCGAAGAAGAAGAAGAAGATGCTCCCGCCTGAGAGTTCCAAACAGCACCAAAACAGGAGGAGGCTACCGTCGGAGAGGTCCCCAAATCACCAAAACAGGATTGGGCTCCCGCCTGCGAGGCTCCTAAAAAAACCAAACAGGAGGAGGCTCCCGCATGGGAGGTCCCACAAAACCCAAGCAGGATGATGTTCCGCCAGAGAGGTCCCTCGAACAACCAGACTCGATGAGGCTCACACCTGGGAGGTCCCCAAGGAACCCAAGCAGGATGGGGCTCCATCCTGGGAGTTTCCCAATCAACCCAAAGAAACCCACACACCTTGTCCTTCATCCCTATAACTGTACAGCCCTAAAAACAAAAATCCGGAGGAGTACCGGCGCCGCTGTCCCATCTGCGTTTACAAGGGTTGCCGTCTCGTCTGGAATGTGTGGTTTGTTTGTTGTTGGACAGCTGCAAGGGTGAGAGGCATAGTGCCTTGGTTTCGTTAGGTGTGTTGGACCTCTCAAGCGGGAGCCTCCTCCTGGTTGGGTTGTGTTCTCAGGCGGGAACCTCATCCAGTTTGGGCGTTTTTGGACCTCTCGGGCGGGGGCATCCCTGTAATCTTCTGGATCTGGTGTCTGCTTCGGTCCTATCGAGCTCTTATTTGAGCCATCTTAAATCGAATCAAAATCCATTAGTTCTCGGATGTGATCGATTCCTATTGGATTCGGATTGGGCTCTAAAAAGTAGTCCAATTAGAACGGAGGAGATCCCATATCTAGATCTTTCAAGTGGACCCCAATTAGACTGCAACCAGGATCCAAGTAGAATTGATCAGATCCCATATCTAGAGAACCCCAAAGTGGGTTCCAATGGCATTATGATCACAGTCCAAGGTTAACGGAGGAGATTACACATCCAGAGGATTCCGATCGGATCTCATTCAGATTCGAAGTCCCTTGGACCCAGGAGGTGGTTTGGATCATGTACCTGGTGCTTGAAGTTCACAAAAGCCAGTCAGCGCAGACCCCATCCATATCAGAAGACTGGCATGAGGTTGACTAGAGTAGACCAAAAAAACAATGGACTGGAGTAGACTGGACTGGACGGGGTTGGACTCTACTCCCTTCTACTCTAGTCTTTTCGAGTCTGCCCGACTCTTTACACTATTGCCCCCACTCTGCTACACTCTGTTCTACGCTACCCTTCTTCTACCCCACCCCTACCCTGACCTACAAGACTCTACTGCACCTTACTCTATTCTACGCTACTCCTACTCCACTCGTCTCAACTCTGAGCCTACTCTATGCTACTTGATTATACTATGGCCAGCTAGGTTCGATGATGTTCAGTTCTAATATACTCTGTTCTCGTAGACCCACGCTGTCTTATCATCGACCCAACTCTGCTCTATACTAATCTGCTCTAATGTAGCAGATTCGGTTCTACCCTAACCTACCCGACCCTCACCTAGTTGACGCCGTTCTACTCTATTACGTCCGACTCGACGCAGGTTCTTAATATGATCCGAACATATTATACTCTGGTGCCATGCCCTCTCGCCGACTCCACTGTACTCTACTCTGTCCCACCGGACTCTACCGCCCCGAGAATATTATACCTATTGCCCTGCTGTAGTCTACCAGCCACCCCACTCGATTATATGCCACGCCCATTCTACTCGGTCCTAATCGATGTATACTATACTCCTACACTATCGTATTCCGACGTTCCTCTATTATATTCTATTCGGCTCAACCCTGTTCTACCCGAGCAAGTTACACCTCGTTCGATTATGGCATAGCACTCGCGGCGTTATCGTATACAATAGTCTGCTCTACGCTACCCCTGCTCCACTCTACCGTCCTCTACTCTAACCCTACACGACCCTCAGCTCTTCTAACACGCTATGCGTGCCCCCTGCTTCGGTCCAGTATCTCTACCTTTGGATACAACCATCTACTCGATTAGACTGGTCTCGATTCGTTTCGCCCCCCTTCCACCGACTATACTCGACCGTCCACCATACTCTAACATATCATCTACCCTGCCATAGTCTACACTAACTCATTTCACTCTAGTCTACTCCAAGCCTATTCGACTCTACTCATGCCCTACTCTGCTCGATTATACCCTCTTCGATTCGGCTCTACTCTGGTCTAGCATGCTCTACGCTACCCATCTACTCGTGCCTGCTTTACCCTACTCTACGGGAAGTCATGTCTACGTTGCAACACAAACGTGTATATTATGCTACTCTTCGGAACAGCGCACACCGGATGGGTATTATGGTGCCTACTCCATTCCCTACCCCGTTCTCCACTCTAAGCGGTTTCTCTCTCGTTCTCTCTCTCTCTCTCTCTCTCTCTATATATATATATCGTTCTCCTCCCTCGCTCTCCCCCTACATCTCTCGCTCTCTCTCTCTCTCTCTATGTGTCTCTCGCTCCGTATCTCTCTCTCTCTCTCTCTCGCTGTATATGTCTCGCTCTCTCTCTCTCTCTCTCTCTCTCTCTCTCTTTCTCCATCTCTCTCCATCTCTCTCCCTCTCTCTCTCTCTCTCCGCACTTACTCTGCTACACACGCCCAGCCCCTGCTATGTGACGTGGCCCCTGCCAAAACATGCATTATCCGTCATTTGTTCTCTACGCCTTGTTTTTAAGTCTGTTGTCCACCATACCCACTTGACAGACTGTTCTACCTTGCTCTATTGCCGTCTCTACGCCTGACCCTGTTTCCAAAAGACCCATTCCGCGCACTACTCTCTGGTGTGGTCTCTACTCTACTCGCTATTCTACCCTCACCCTACACCACAGTAGAGACTACAGTAGAGCAGGTTCGAACAGCCTGCCACGTGGGTGTATTGAAGAGTGGGGAGCACAGCGTAGGGGGTGGAGAGTCGATAGTAGAGCTGGTGGCAGAAAGTAGAGTACATAGTGGGAGTGAAGCGGGTGATAGTGTAGAGGATGAAGCGTAGGGGTAGATGTGGACGTCGAGATGTAGCATGGTAAGGGCAGGGAGTTTGGAGGCAGAGGCGAGAGAGGAGGCATGGTAGAGTAGACTTGAGTAGAGTAGACTAAAATAGCTGCTACTAAAACATCAGTCACATGGCAGAGAACAGCGAGAACAGGGGAGTATAGTAGAGCGTTGAGTGTACCTCTCTCTCGAGGTCTCTCTCTCTCTCTCTCTCCTCGTCGCTCCCGCTCGCTCTCTCTCTCTCTCTCGCCTTCTCTCTCTCTCTCTTGTTCAGTCTGCCAGTCCTTCTCTCGCACCATCTCTCTCTTTTCTATATATATGTATATATATATGTATATTATATATATATATATAGATAGATATCTCTCCTGTGATAGGGTCCCCGAGGGGGCTGGCACACATGTGTATACCCATATGTAATACGTATGTGGAAGTGTATATATATATATATATATATAGATATGTGTATTCATGGATTCCTCTTCCTATATTTGTATAAGCCCGGGCGGGGGGGGAAACCCGTCACCCCCCCCCAAAGAAAAAAATGGACTCCTGGGATCTGGGGCTTTGGGACCCTCCAGACGGGCCTCGAAGCGGCCACCGGGCCTCACATGGCGTTTTGCCAAGCCTTCCCAGCGTACCTAGGGCGATCAGGGGGGTCATCGGAGACGTCCCAGAGACCCCCAAGACAGCACAAGAGCGCTCCAAGAGTGACCGACGTGACCTCAAGATGGCCCAAGAGGCGTCCAGGACGGCCCCAAAGAGGCCTCCAAGAGCACTCTCAAGAGGGCCCCCGAGGCAAGAATCATTGGTGCACGCTCCAAGACGGCGGTCTTCTGGGCGTCCGAAGCCGCCTGGGAGGCTCCCAAATCGCCCCACAACCATCCGAAAGAGAGTCCAAGATCCAAGATGGCGTGGCCCAAGATTCCGTGATTCGTGATTCAGGGAGACCGCGGTTGGAGGCAGGGTGGCCCGAGGAAGCCCCCGGAGGGGTCCCAGAATACGCCCAGGAGGTCTCCAGAAGGCCTTAAGAAAGCCTGAAACAACTTTTGTGAGGCGCCTAGAGGCTCTCCAAGGAGGAGCCTCCGCAAAAAAAGAGCTGAGGAGGATGGGGAGAATGCGCAGGGCATGTCGAACATAAGGAAAAAGAAGCATGGAGGAAGGATAACGAATCACAGTATTATAACGGCGATGCCAGAAAAGGCAACCAGGAGTTATCGCTAAATTGTCGGTTTGACCTTCCTGCTATTCCGCCTGCATACCAAACTTGAAGGACCAAAGTGGATGGCGCGAAGCGCCACTGCAGTCTTGTATATATGTATGTATGCATACATGTGTGTACGTAAACAGATATCTCGATATCACTGTCTATCTGTCGGTCTCTCGACCTGTCTATCTTACACGGGGAGACACAAGAACAAACCGCGGGTCAACCACGGGACAGCCACGGGACAATTACGAGACAACGCGGGTCAGGACAGTCGTTCGACAACCACTAAACAACCACGGGGGGACCACGTGACAACCACGGGATACCGGGATACCCACGGGACAACCCCGCGCACGCTTTGGCGGGCGGGATACCGAGTCATTTTGGCGCGATTTGGGCGTATTGGGTTCAGGTTGGCGCGCAGTCCCGCCTCGCCCGTACGCACGAACCGAAACCAACATTGATATCCCAGTTGGGCGACTCCGTGTTACTTTCGGTAGCACCCACCAACCTCCGATACTACGACTGTTTAGCATCGTTCCCTCTTCCGTCTCCTCACCTGTTCCCCATACCCAGGTGGAGAGGCAAAACGTAGATTTTCGTAAGTTGAGTTCGTAATGACTTGTAGTGATATTCCCCGTCCGCAGTGCATGCCCCTGTTCTGACCCATCGACCTCCTAGGCAAAAAACCCGGCTCCTTTCCCCGCCACCTGACTCCCCCTCTCCTCAGCCGCCGTCTCCCTCCCTAGCCTCTCCCATCACCCTTCCCCGCTCATGAACGGACCTCCGGGCCCGATGGAGGCAGAACAGGGTGAGTCAAATCGAGAACTGGGCCAGAACAGATGAGGAAGGAACTAGGGACGCCGACAGAAGACCACGAGGTTGACCGAGCCGTGCAGCCAGGAGTGCGACTTACGCCTTGCGCACCAAGGATCCATATTCCAGAAGTGTCAAGGATATCCCTGAAGAGTAGCCAGCCAGTTTCAGGCAGATCAACAGATTGATCATCACTCGGGATCGACCTTCTACTATGCAGAGCGTCTCGGGGATATTGGTGCCAGCTGCCATGTGCGTGCAGCAGAGATTTGGCTTGGCCGAGGAGATGTCGTTGAGGTTGTCCGTGACATGGCTAACATCCCGATGCAATATCAGGAGAGCTACCCACACGCAAGGACATAAGAGCTCACCGTCTTTGATGAGTGGCACTGCTCCTGGACGCGAAGGACGGGGGACAAATGCGCCGACGTCTTGGTAACACGTTGCCTTGGACTCAAAATTTTGACGCCAGGAAGACATCGAAGCTGAAGATCCGCAAATGGCCAGCATGGTGTGGAATCGCATCACGAAGTGCGTCGACCAACAGTAGCTCTGTATTCTCCGAGCACGGAGCAAGGCGCGCGAGTTTGATGGAATGACTGTTTGCGACAGTTCCACAGACTGGAATGGGTGGAATGCGTAGAACCCCCGCACAACAAAAAAATCGCGCCAACAAAAAAGCATGCCTTGAATTTCGCACACGCCGATTCGGAAAGGCACATCAACGAGGCTCTTGAGAAAGACACCCCGGCGGTACTCGTCGTCGGATGATACGGCAAGCAATGGGGCCATTCGAGCAGAGAGGCATCAATCACATGCGCGCCCGCACACGACTGGCCGAATCGGGGCCGACTTGGGAGCCAGGTTACTTGGAACATGTGTGGGTGAGGGGGGCACCTTTGTCCCGACAGCTGTTGAAATATTCGGCGACTGGATGATCTCGGAAAGTGTCGGGTGGCGTCGGATGGCTTCGGATATCCCCAGAATCCACTCGGATAGCTTCAACTGGCCCCTGATTTGGGCAGGTCGCCAGGCCGAAGCAGCAGAAACGGCTCCCACAAATTCGACCGTACACAGGGACCACCAAGTAATATAGAAACAGAGGTGCGCATCCTCAGCAGGGGCGGGGCAGTTTCCGTGCTTGTTTCGTCCCGTTCTTGGAGATTGTTTTTGTTACCCTCTGGCACGTAACCGTAGTTTCCTGAGCCCCCCCCCTTCAACGTTACGGTAATGATCGTATTTATGGCGGGGGGGTGGACCCCTTTCCCCTCATGTTGGTGTTAAGTCGGGCGTGTCCCTCAGGGGGAATACTCAGAAATAGTCAAAAAATAGTCTGGGGACGAATTGTTGAGCACTTCTTGACTAAGTTTTGATATTTCTTGAATATGTTCATTCTTCCTCCCGGAATCGCCTGTAGGGGGACACGCCCGACCTAATGTTGGTGCTCACGCGCGTACTATCGCGATCGCAGTGCGCCCCGGCCCCGTCGTGCCCCACTCCGCCCGAGCGTTGCCCCCCCCTCCCCCCCCATCCTGGGCAACGACCATTGCAGAAGCAAACAGAATCCCTCAGTAGTCTCTTGCTGTCCCGCCCTTTCGAGCAGGGCTGAACCTAAACGCTGTTTTTCTGGACTTCGGCTGTATTTTGTATTTCGTGTTTGGCAGGGACGTACAGGAACACAGGCAGAGCAAAAACGAAAACAAAACGAACAACAACGTTTAGATCCAGCCCTATACAGAAGTGGAGCACCACTCGGCAGTCTCGTGTCGCCTCGCCCTCTCGAGGCAGCGCCCATCTTCTCGGGGGTCGTCAGCGGCCTGGAGCACCTGCACTCCAAGGGCCCGGCGGGGGGAGCCTCCGGGGCGGAGAGCATACCAAGAGGAGGAGGAGGAGGAGGAGGAGGAGGAGGAGGAGGAGGAGGAGGGCAAGGAGGAAGAGGAGCATAGCAACACGAGGAGGAGGAGGACCATAGCAGAACGAGGAAGAGGAGGAGGAGGAGGTGGAGGAGGAGGAGGAGGAGGATCGAATACCAAGGTGAAGGATCGATTTTGTCTGGGCGTCAACTGCCCTCCCCTCGTGGCCACGGGTAGAGGCCTTCGAGCTCATCTTCGGAGGGTTGGGCTGTGCCGCCAGGGCCCAGACCTCCTGGCGCCCCGTTGCAAACAGCGACGGCCAGTTTGTTTTTTTGTTTGGGGCACGTTCTTGTTCGTTGACTCGCGCCCCGGAGACACCCGAGAGCGACACTTCTGGCAGGCCCAAGAGACACAAGAATCGTTCCAGAGTGTTCTGGAGCGTTCTCACGGCGCTCCAGAACGCCAGTGGCGCCTGGATGCAGCCTCCAGATCTTGCGTTTTTGCTCATTTTCGCCGCTCATCCCTGGCATGTGTAAACCCCTCTCACTGGAGGACGAGGCGGGGGAGGAGGGCGAGAGGGGGAGGAGAGGAAGAGGAGGGCGGCCAGGGAGTAGGAGAAGGACGGGAAGGAGGAAGCGGAGGGTCGAGAGTTCTGCCAGCTTCGCGACGGCGCGGTGCTGCTCTGCGACCACCCGCGAGCTCTGCGAGTCTGCGGGTCCAGTCGACGCTGGGGTCTCGGACACCCCCTCGGGCTGCAGGCGTCCTTCATGATGGGCCTGTCTTCCACCACCATCACCACCACCATAAGTTGGAGGGGGAAGGGGGTCCTCCTCGTCCTCCTCATCCTCATCCTTCACATCATTCCCCTCTCCAACTTATGGTGGTGGTGGTGGTGGTGGTGGTGGAAAACAAGCCCATCACTTCAAGTTCTGAACCCCAGCCGGTTTTTCAGACGTCTGATTTGCATAGGGTCGGCGTCACGCAAGCGTAGTGGTACGATGTGTGCGCGCTAAAGAATTGTATAGTACAGTGGGGGCCCATGCCAAGAAAAACACACTGCTTGCCTCCAGGGTGCCCTGGGTTTCTGGGGGTTGCGATGATCTTGCTGTGGGAAATCGTGGCGCTCTCACACCAACAATCAAGGGACGCCCTGGGATCTCAGTGTGTGTTTTTTGTGGAAGGTTTCTTGTGGACGAGCTCCTACTGTGTATGCTCGGTCCAGAGTGCCCTGGGTTTCTTGGGTTTCACATATTTTGCTGTTGAAAGCGTGACGCTCTCACACAAAAATCAGGGGAGGTCCTGGGGTCTCAGGGCTGGGTTTCTTCTTGAAGATCTCTTGTGGTCGAGCACCTCTGTATACGTCCCAGTGTCCGATTTTCCTCCTCCAAGTCTTTGCCCCTCGCCTCGACTGGCACGCGCCGCCGCTCCGCAGGCAGGGGCCCCGACCCCGGCGGCCCGCCCGGGGCGAGAGGGCCGGAGGCGGGGCCGCGGGGGCGGGAGCGGGAGGAGGACCCGCACGCCCCAATGCGGGTGCGGGGGGGGCACGCTGCGCCGCAGCTGGGCCACTTCGGCGGCAACTCGTGGGAGCCTCCCATGCCATCCTGCGGGCTCCTGCGAATCGACGCTGGTCGACGCTGGTCGACGGTAGCCACTAGCCGATGCTGAATCGACGCTCGCCGACGCCAAGTCGGCGCTATCGCATCGACTCCCAGAGGCTCATCGACGCTAGAGACACAATGAGTGAAAAGGGGTATACCAGGCTCCCATGATTTGCTGCCGACGGCAACCATCTGCGAAGCCGATGGGGCGTGGGGGCGTGCGGGTCCTCCTCCCGCTCCCGCCCCCGCGGCCCCGTCCTTCGGCCCTCTCCCCCGGGTCGGAGCGGCGGCGCGTCCCAGTCGAGGGGCAAAGACCTGGAGGAGGAAAATCGGGCACTGGAACATGTGCAGTAGGAGCTCGACCACAAGAAAGCTTCCACAAGAAACCCAACCCTGAGACCCCAGGACTTTCACTGATCGGTGTTGTGAGAACGGTACGCTTTCCATGGCAAAACCATCGGAGCCCAAGAAACCCAGGGCACCCTGGAGGCAACCAGGGTGTTTCTTGGCACCGGATTCCACTGTACATTACCAGTGGCGGGTTGTTCTTCAATCCCAGGGTTTTTTTGTGAGGGTCGGGGACGACGTCGGGGTGGTGTGGTGTAGACGTGTTCTCCGTTTCCCGGGGGAACGACGAGACATGTATACAGTATGCACCACGATTCTGTATACTCCAGGATCCACATTCCTGTGCAGGTGGCAGTGAAGTGCCGGAAAATGCGTCGGTGTATAGAGTTTGTTGCAGTGGAAAGGGTACCGATACTGCCACACTTGGCCTCGAGATCGCTTTGTGATGCCCTCCTGAGAGGCCCTCGTCGCCACGGCTGGATCCGCTTCGAAATTCTAGTCAGAACACACCCTGGGAGCGGTCCGGGGAGTAGCGGTATGGTGTCCTCAAACACTGAATGGATTAAATAATGAAACCGGCTCGACCCCAATGTTGGAAAAGTTCCTAATGATTGCATGGGGGCATTGCTTGGCATTGTTTGGCATTGCTTGGCATTGTTTGGAATGAGGCACCATGGGCGGGGAACCCAGGGAACCTCCGGGCAACGGGCGACGTAACAGTAGGAGGCACCGGGGGTGGGGAACCTGGGGAACCTCCGGGCAACGGGCAAAGTAACAATAGGAGGCATCAACCTTTAACCCTGAAAGAACCCACCAGGCAAGCCTAACTGGGGGAATCGGAGCTCCGCGCAGACCTCTGGGGTCTGCACTGTGTCGCGGACCTCCGCGACCGTTGCCGTTGATGCCGCTCTGTCTTCCTCCAGGCCCACGGCGACGGGATCGCCTGGCTCCTCAAGCCAGGCCAGGCGGGCCCGATGGACCCCTTGGCATCGCTCGGACGTGCGTTTTTTTTTTCGGCGAGACATGGACGTCCGAGTGATGGCGAGACCCGCATCCACATGAAACCACGCGGCTGCACAAGAGCCTCGGCGTGGCCGCCGCCCGCTGTGCTTGGCTGCGTCTGGGTCGTTATCCGAGCGTTTTGGCGTGTTCGTTCGCATCCTACCACCCTGTTTTTTTTAATATTTCGCTGCATCGACGGAGCGGCGCAAGCTGCAGCTCGATCTCTGGTACTATCCTATTCATCCATCCCCGCTCGCTGCCGACTGGATTGGGTTCCATCTTGCGTCCCGACGCGCCCGCGTTCTGTGCAGAATCAGGCGGTGCATTTGCGGTCTGGCGCGTCTGTCCTGAAATTCCCTGAAAGTGACACCCACATTCCGTCTCCGCACCCTCTTTAATTAGTCAGAGTGAGGGATGTGTGGCTGTAGTGGTTGTCCGCGGTGCGGATTCTCGTTCTCCTCGTTCTTGTTGTCGTCGCCCGGGGTAGTTTTGTCGGGCATGTTGGCAACGGTGGCTTCGGAACTGGTGGCAACCCTTCATTGTGATCATGTTGGCGTCATCTTAACTTGACCCCTACAAGCCCAATCCTTGAGATGAGGATGAATTTTTCGTCGTCGTCCTCCTGTATGTTGCTCGCGTTGGTGATCTCGGTGTTCCTACGAAGTCGTGTTTGGAGGGGGCAAAAGCTGTCAGCTCCTGTCTGCCGTCTTCGTCCAGAGACCTGGCGGCAACAGTAGCAGCCATCCATAGCGGGGTTGTTGTTGACCCATCGCCGTCTTCGTGTTGTTGCGTTTGCGAGATAGTTTTGGGTTAGTTACTGATTCACAGGTGCATTTGATATGTTAGCATGCCCTTCATATTTCAGCACATCGCCCTTACTAGCCGCTGGAGTCAAACAGCGTTGACACGTGTATCAAAAAGGCACAGGGATGATATTCCCATGCACGTTAATAATTGCGCCAGTGTGTTGTTCAGAGGTTGGCCCTACGACTTAAACGTTGTGGAGCTGGAACCACGAACACCTTACGGGTGGAAAGAGGTTCGGCGATGTTTTGGGTGTTTTGCGCAGGAGAGTTGGGCTCAGCTCGGAGAAGTCGTCTAAATTGTTGACACTTCGCGTACCCCCACCAGCCTCCTGACTCCGCTAGCGCCTTCGCTGGTGGACGCGACCGAAAAAAAACCCACCAGCCTCGGACGGCGCCTGCGCTCTCGCTTGCGCCCGCGACAAAAAAAGTACCCCCACCAGCCCATTCAGAAACGACGCCCATGAGAGCCGCCTGGAGGAGGATAGCCTCTGGGTGAAGCAAGGATGTCAACAATGGTGAGGCTGGAGACTTCGTGAAGCCATTTGGAGCCATCTTGAGGCCATCCGCCCAGAGGACTGGTGTCAGGGGCAACGTAAGAGAAGACCGACTCATAGGGGGGATGCATCGTCCTCCAATCGCCCACTCACTGCCGATGGAGGCCCGATAGCGCATTCCGCCCAGGAACGTGCGGACTTGCTCCCGGTGGCCTGTAGCCCCGATGGGTCGCCGATGCATCACCGGAAAGAGTAGTAAGAAAATAGTAGATTGACGATGTTTTGTGTTTTTTGATTATGCTTGATCATTGTTTGACTGTCTTTAATATTTCTTCCAAGACCCGCCTGTAGGAGGACATGCCCGTCCTAAATCCAAGCTCGATGTTTCCCTCCCTGAGCTGGTCCCCCTTGTCGTTCCCCCTCAACCCGCCCTGGGATTTCCAGCCTCGCTCAGACGCGTCTCGACGCCACGGACCGGTCACGTCTCGTGCGCAGCGCCGGTGGCGCCCGCCGGCGTGCGGGCGTTCTCGCGGGCCAGATTCGGACCCTGGGTGCGAAGTCCGCACGGAAGATCAGCCACGCGCAGAAGTAGGGGCACCGGGGGGAGGGTTCTTACCGGACGAACGAGATAGGCACGGAAAGAACGCGTATGATGCCCAACAGCAGCTCTTGTTCATTTTGAACAGGGCTTGCTGTCCGCGCCGCCGCGGCCTGTGTCCACTTGAGACAGAGGGCCGCCTGCCCAACATCGGCCGCTTTCGGTTTGGGAGAACATATGTTGTTAGGCATTGTACCCAATTTTTCCGTACCCATTTCGGGCGTCCAAATCTTGGAAGCACCCGTTTTGTCTGTAGATGTAGGGTCGGCGCCGTCTAGGAAGCAGCCTCTTTCTACGAGGCTTTCCCCCCCTTCCCCCTACCCTCGTGTGCGCGCTGCCAATTCTAGGTCCATGCCGGCCGTGACCGACTCGCGAGGATGATCCACGAGTCGACGGTGACCAAGATTGACGGTGACCAGGATTGGCACCGACGATTCCGCGCTCAGTCGTAGTCGTGGTCGTCATTTGTTTTCCCGCCGGATGCGGTCAACAGCCTCTGCTCACGAACGACAGAGGCGAAGCGAGTGCACATGAACTTCTCTGGGCTTCGAGAGCATGCGCTGCGCGAGTGCTCGCAGCCTGCGGCTGGCCTCGCAGACTCGGTGGGCTGTGCTCACGTGAGTGGCTGGGAGCGTGTGAGTCTCTTGCGGGCTCCTTCTCTGTGAACCGAGAGCGGAGATCGCTCAAAACTGAACGGTCCAGGTTCGAATTCGTGATCGACAACAGAAGTGTGAGTTACCCTCCAACATGCTTGTTCCGCCAAATCAACGGAAAATATGCAGAATGTTAAGCAGATCTACTGAACATTCTACGTATGTGTATACATCGTATTACTCATCCCCAGTAGCCATTTTGACTCAAGCTCCGGCTCCAGTCCGCGCCGCGTGCTGACCCGCTGGGACTGGCGGGCATCGCTCTACCCGAGCGGGGGGGGGCCATGGCCGCTCGGCCCCCGCCTGGCCTTGGTACCAAGAACACTTTCTTGGATTGCCCGTCGCCGTGGATCGAATACGTCACCGTCAAAGCCCCAAATCGGACCCCACCTCGGGCTACACCACCTCCGGGTCCAGCTCGGTCTCGTCGTCGTATGGCAACAGCGCCCGACCCGGGGGAAGAGCGGAGCTGGGGTGTGGCCCGAGCCTCTCGGGCAGATCGTTGCAGCACCCGGCACGTGGAGATCGACATGCGGCGGCCGCCCAGCAGGACAGGGCGCGGCCCAAGCCAGGAGAAGGAGGCGCGGCTCCGGAGGTGGAGGGGGACAACGCCTCGGAGAGCTCGGGAGGACGTCGCTCGCGGACGCAGCGGCGCCGCACGCAGCGGAAGTGGGCGAAAGAACGCAGGCGGGGGAAGGCCACGGCGGCCTGCAGCGCGAACCACACGCAGGGGCTGCCTGCGCAGAGAGACGAAGCGGTTGCCCCCCGGGGGCGGCAGCTCGAGCGGAAGCCTTCCGGCTGGCACCAAGATCTGACTTTGATTGCGGGTGCCTCTTTGGTTGCCAACTGTGGCACACAGCGGTTTCGATCATCGGCATCAACGACGAACAAACATATGTATATACAGAGAGAGAGAGAGAGATTGTATAATCGACCCCCCGATGTCGCACGCAGGAGACTGCCGCGCCCGGCCAGGCCAAGAGCTTGCCGCGCCCGGCCAGCTGTTGCGGCGGGGCGTCGGGCGCCACCCTCAACTCACGCGCTCCGTCTCTCGTTGGACGGCGCTGGCCCGCCGTGCGGCGCTGCCGCGCTGTTTTGCGCAGGGCGCCTTCAAGTCAGAAGGGGGGGATGGGTTTCTCGCGTCAGGTTCCTGATGTCAAGACGTCGGCTGGATCCAGATCGCGTGGAAACGTGGTTGAGGTCGAGGCGTTGTAGAGTCCCGCCAGCCCAGCAGGGCGTGAGTGGTCCAGGAAGCTCGTTCTGCTAATCCCCTTCTCACCCTTCAGGGAAAGGGTTCCCCGTCCCCCGATCCCCTCCTCGAGGGGCTAGAGCGACCAAGGATAGCTCAAGATGGCGCCCAGAGTGTCCCATATATCTTAAGATTGCCTCCAAGATCGTTCAACGTAGCCCAAGCTGGTTCAAGGTAGCCCCCATCATGCTTCCATGAGGCCATAAGACCGCCCCAAGACGGCGCCGAGAGGCCACGGAGATGCTCGGGGACGCCCCAGAGAGGCAGGGGCCCGTCCAGAATCATTGAGGAAAAGCAATGGTTTTTGCCTTGTCGCCGTTTCTCTTCTGATGGGCTTTAGAGGTTTCAATTTTGCCCCAAGATGGCCTTGGAGATCCCCGCGAGGGGCCCAAGAGAACCCCGAGAGGTCTCCAAGAGCGCCCCAAGAGCGCCCCAAGAGACGGTTTTCAGGGCCCCGACGGGGGGGGCGCAAACACGCGCCACCCCTTGTTTTTACCGACGCCCCCCCCGAAAGGGCCCCCCAAGGCATCCAAGACAGCCGCAGGAGAGCCCAGAGAGAGCTCGAAACGTGCCCCATGAGGGGCCAAAAGGTATTCAAGATGGCCATCATATGTGATAAATGTTGAGTCGTCCGATGGTGATCCCAATATGCATCCAATACGCTCACAGAGCGTGACTGCATGCTGCTGCACATCCCTGATCAGATAATAAACTTTGTTTTGTGATAGATTTTTGGTTGGGCTGGTGTGGATACGCGAAGTGTCAAGAGTTGCGATGGCTAGGCGCGTTAGGTGTCTCCGCAGCAGGATACCGCTGCCCCCGCTGCGGCGCAGGACGCCGTATGATGCCGCAGGGTCGACACCAAGCTGCCGCGCCATTGGCCGTTGGCTGGGAGATCTGTCGCCGCTTGGGCTCCGACCTTGGAAGGGGGATCGGAAATCACAAGTTGAAAGAGCATCAACGATCGGATGTCCGCGTGAACATATTGCGCCGGCGCCGGGCATCCCCGTCGCGGCGCCTCCTATGCCGAACCTGGCGCGTTCCGCTCAGCGCCGACCCAAAAACTTCGAAAGTGTGTAGTTTTCTTGTTGTATGAGTTTCCGTAGAGAAGGCAGGTTTTGATGTATCGCTTCCGCTAAAGAGCCCTTATCACGAGAAGAAGAAGAACATCAGAAGCATAATCAGAATGAACTCCGCGCAACCTCCGAAAGTCCATGTTGATGGAGTGGCGTGTTCCTCTCTTCACGCCTCAGCCTCCGCATCTGGCCCCATCCCCCCTTCATCTTCCTCTTCCCGTCTGTTTTCCCTGCTCCTCTTCCTTCCTCGTCTCCTCTGTCGCTCCTTCCCCGAATTGCCTTTTTGAGATTGTTTCTCCGCTTTCTCCTTCGGTTACGTACTCTTTCCTCCTTTTTCTCATTGTTGTTCCCATCCTGTGATCACTTCTTCGCCCATGTCCGTCTCATGGTCGGCAGGTGTGATACACAGGGATGTGAAGCCGGAGAACATCTTGATATGCAGAGGAGTTGCATTGACGCGTTGCTTCGCCCGCAAATTGTTGCAGAGGAAAGAATGATACAATCTCGTGAAGAGGAGGGAGGGAGGGTTCTTGGATCAGTCGTTTTCATTGTGGGTTTCGTGACGCGCCCTCGGTGCCCACGGCCAGAACTGCTTTGGAATATCATCCAAAACGCACATATGGAGGCCGTTAACGAGTCGATTAATGACAGGAAGTCGAGTTAATTAGAAACGGCACACATGGCAAAAACGCAGATAAAGAGAGAGAGAGAGGGAGAGAGAGAGAGAGAGAGAAAAAGAAAGAAAGAAAGAAAGAAAGAGAGAGCGAGAGTGAGCAAAGGGTGGGAGCGAAAGATAGAGAGAGATAGAAAGGGAGAGGTGTGTGTAGCGGTTGCCACGCCCGGATGGATGGACCAGAGGAGAGGCAGCGATGGAACACGAGATAACGCAGAGAGGGAGCAAGTAAAAAACGAAGAGAGTGACAGATGGAGAGGAAGACACAGAGAGAAAGACAGAAAGAGAGAGGGAGACAGATGATCAGTGAACGATGGGAGAGGACGAGAGAGCGAAAAAGAAATGGAAAGACGGTGTGATTGTTCAATCCTCCCGGGGTCCCCAGGGCCAGAAAAAGGTACACCGTGATGCCCAGCAGTTCCACGGGCCGGTCCGCTCCCCACCGCGCGAAGGCCCCGCCCCCCCCCCTTCGGAGCCGGTACCCCCCCCCACCCGAAAGTCGGGCGGAATCCGGGGTCTTCGGGTCGGGCTGGGGTGGTTCGGTAGGCAGTCACCCCTGGCGATGCACGTATGGCTCCTCCCTCGGCTCTTCGCCCCCGTCGTCGCCCCCCGAGGCTCCCGAGCCGGCAGCTCGCGCCCAGACCCGCACGACCCCCAGACTTGGCGGGCTGGGCTCCTGGAAGGGCCACAGGCGCGCGCTGCCGGAGCGGGGCCTCCGCTCGAGCGCGGGCCCCCCCCGTCCGGGGCTCGCTTCGATTCCTCTGAGTCGATTCGGTTTCGAGTTCGATGGCTTGCGATGCCGATGCGATCCGGCCTGGGGTTCCGATCTGGGTTCCGACTCCTGATCGGACGCAGATTGGCCTGCCGATTTCTGCCGACTCGGCTGCCGATTTCCACCGATCCGATTCATTTCGATCGCCGATCCGACTCATCGATTCGATTCTGGGCTCTCCTGTCCCTCGGAGCCCGACCACCCACGCCCATACTTCCAGCGCAGCCTCGAGTCGCGAAGCGCGGGTCAGGCTCCCCAATAGTCAGGAGCGAGAAACAGGACGTACACGTACATGAACCCACGTTGGCTTCGAGAGCAGTCATTGCGCGAACGTTCGCATCACGCGGCCGGTCTCGCGGGTTGGGGGGCTGTGCTCATGTATATATGTATATTGTTGGGCGCGTACGTCCTCTGTGGGCTCTCTACACAAGTATGGGTGTGCGATGTCCGTTGGTCATCACATGGGGCCGAAACAAGTTGGTGTTGCTTCGAGCGATCCCCTCCCGAGAGCGCGAGGCGGGATACGCAGGGAGCGCCGGGACCCTCGGGGCCTGGCGGCCGCGGCATGAAGTCGTCATTCGTCGAAGGCGCGAGGCGGGATACCAAGGGAGCACCTACACAGTTGGGGCCTGGCGGCCGCGGTGTGCAGGGCGCGCGAGGCGGGTCGGGAGTTATTCTCTTTAGATCTCACACCCCCATGTTGTCGCGTGGGGAATTGCGAGGACCTGCCCGTTTCCCACCGCGCTCTGCCCTACCCCCCGCCCAAGCGAGTCCCGTGTCTGGGCCTGCCAGGCCCCCGCGCATAGAACAAGATTGGCTAGATAGTAAATCACTGAAGGTTCCGCTCGTCTCGAAATCAATGTATATCGGCGGACATCGCCCAATAGTGCCAAAGAGCACCCAATAGCGCGCTGTTGGGCGCCATGGGGACGACCCAAAGCTTCCGTGAGTTTTTTTGTTGGTCGGCAAGAGCGCCCGCCGCGCATTCGCAGGGCCGACCGGCGAGCCCGTGGCCAAGCTGGCGGACTTCGGCTGGTGCGCCGAGCTGGAGGACGCCCGAGCTCCATCCTCGCGAGGAAGGAAACAGAAGAATGAGGAGAGGGAGCAGGGGAGAGGGGGGAGGAGGAGATGGAGAGTGATCGCCGAAGAACGGAGCAGTTCGTACACAAGCATGTGTTGAGCTCTGTTCGCATTTCTTGGATCGGCGCTGTGATCTTTGGCGGCGCCTCCGTCGCCGCCCCTGGCACGCTCCGCGCGCCAGGGAGGGGGGCCCAGCCCAGATCCAATAAATCCGCGCGGACTTCCGAGAGCTTATGTTCAAGTCATTGTTTGCTCCCCGAGGGAGGGAGGGGGGACAGGGATGCGATGTCGAAAGGTCCTACATAGCGATCTCAACGATGACTGCGGATTGTGAGCTGGCTTTCTCCCCGTCATGCATGTGTAGCGTGCTGGCCGGGGCGTTCCGTCCTCGAGGCACTGCGTGGCGCGCGCAACAGAGGGGTGTGTATGCTTGAACCTGCGTCCCCGCACGCCGCACTGCCGGAAACATTGGACGGAAGAGGGAGGAATAAGGAACTAGGGTGATGGAGGAGGCGGAGGTGGAGGACGAGGTGTGTGAGTGTGTGTATGTTTGTGGGCGTTTCGGTGTTATTGTTTGTGTGTGTGCTTGTGTTTTTGTTTTTGCTTGTGTGTCTGCTTGTGTCTGTGACTCTGTCTCTGTCTGTGGTTGTGTCTGTCTGCCTCTGCCTGCCTGTTTGCCTGTCTGTCTGTCTGTCTGTCTGTCTGTGCGTGCGTGCGTGCGTGCGTGCGTGCGTGTGTGTATGTGCTTGTGCGTGCGAACAGGGGGGCCTGGCCAGAGGCGCGCTCCATTTCTGCCGGTTGGGACTGTGGGGTGGCGCACCGGCACCAGCTCCGCCACCCGCAGAGCCAAGGAACTCTCTGGAGTCCTCCCTGTGGGATGCGGAAGAGATCTCGGCACAGACCAGCAGCCCAGGGAAGGTGGCGCCCGAGAGGTGGACGCGAACTCACAGAGAGCGAGCTTCTTGAAGGCCTCTTGGGGGCCTCTTGGGGGCCTCTTGGGGCCTCCTGGGGGCCCCTCGGGGCCGAAGGCTTGACATGCCCATTCGGGTTCCCCATCTGGGCCCCCTCTGGGGACCGTCTTTGGGCACTCTTGGGTCGTTTTGGGCGCCTCGTGGGCCATCTCGGGGCCCTCTTGGGCCGCCAAGGGGCCCTCTTGGGGGCCGCTGGGGTCGTCTTGGGGCGATCTTGAGGGCCTTGTGCAGTCTTGGAGCGTCGGGTAGCCGACACGGCGAGAGCGCAAACATCTGTTCAAGACTATGGGAAATCAAATTGTTTGTGCGCCCGCTTAGAAGGCCTCTTGGAGCGTTTTGGAGGCTTTTGGGCCAGTCATGAGGCAATCTTGGACGTGTTGGAACGATCGGTCTGCGATTCGAGGCCTCTTGGAACGTTTTTGGGGCCTCTTGGAGCCTTCTTTCTTGAGCCCGAACATGTATGCGGAACGCCGCGGCGGGGCCCAGGGGAACCGCGGCAAGCCCCGGGCGATTTGAGAATATGGGGTCCCAGCCCCAAGCAGCTCCTCAAGCGGTGCCAAGCGGTACAGACTGCAAGCAGACGAGACGACGCAGGACACAAGGAGGAGGAGAAGTAGGAGGTGGAGGAGGAGGAGGAGGAGGAGAAAAAGAAGGAGACAGGGGAGGAGGAGGAGGAGGAGGAGGAGGAGGAGGAGGAGGAGGAGCGGAGGAGGAGGAGGAGGAGAAGGAGCAGGAGGAAAGGAAAGAGCGTGGAGGGAGGGAGGCAGGCAGTCATGCTGGAGGGAGGAGAGGGAGGAGGAGGAGGAGGAGGAGGAGAGGAGCAGGAGGAAGAAGAAGGTTCGGGAAAGAGGGAGATAGAGGAGAGAGGAGGAGGAGGAGGAGGAGGAGGAGGAGGTCAGGAGGCAGGAGGATAATATTATCATTATTGAGGAAGCGCTGGAGAGATGGAATGAGAGAGGGAGGGAGGAGGTAGAAGGGAGGAGGGAGGGAGGAGGATACTAACAAGGAGAGGTGAGGTGCGAGGGCGAAGGGTGGAGGAGGGGGGGGGGAAACAGGGAGGGGCGCGAGCGCCGTCGCCGGCCGCCGCCGACGGCGACGGCGATGGCGACGGTGGCGACGGCGGCGACCTCGGCGGCGCCGTCCGCCAAAGCCGGTCCTGGGACCTCGGAGATCGGCCTCCAGAGCGCCTACAGAGCTCGAGCCCAGGGACTCGATGACTCGATCGCTGGGCTCGCGAGGAGGAGGAGGACCCCTGGGCGCGACGATGGCGGCGGCAACGACGCCGACGCCGACGCCGACGCCGACGCTACGACGCCGACGCCGCAGGCTGCGCGACGCCGACACGGTGACGACGGCGGCGGCCAGGCGAACGAGGCGCCGCGGCACACGTTCTGCGGCACGGTGGACTACCTGTCGCCAGAGGCCGCGCCGCCCCCCGCCTGGGAGCGGATCGGATCGGCAATCCACGAGGAAAGGGGCAGTCCCTTTCTGCTGGGTGAGCGCCAAGCCCATCTGGGCCCGCCGGTCGAGGTGGGTGCGATGGGGTGCCAGGCTGAGCTCTGGGATCAGCACCCCGGCAACGAGTCCGAGACACAGGCAACATATGAGCTCTGATGAGAGCACTGGCTGATCCAGCCTCGTCCATCCATCCGCCACCACCCCTTACTCAGACGAGCACGCCCTTGACGGCTTGCCCTGGACGCCCCATCTGGGAAGAGGAGGAGGAGGAGGAGGAGGACGGGGTGTCGTCGACCCCCACATACAATGCTCACATTTACACCTACTGAAAGATCTTAACTTTTGGGAGGGGGTGTATCCTGCGTTGAACGCTCTTTGTTGGTGCCTCTTGGGCAGTTTTCGGGCCGTCTTGCGCTTACATTGGTGGATGTTCTGATTATTCCGAAGCCTCTTTGTCGCTCACTCCCAGAAGAGGTGAGAAGTCTATGGGGGTCGCAGGGGCACGATTGGAATTCCAGTGGCTGCGTTTGGTGTGGGTCCGATGGCCATGAAGTTCCTTTGACCTGGTTGCGGCTTCGACAGGCGCCGGGTTTGGGACGGGAATGTATATCACGAAGAGCAGGCTCAGGAGGAGGAACAGCACAATGGGGGAATGTGGGCAGGCGGGGGGGGAGTGACATGCGGGACGACGAAAGCAGACATCCCGACTGGCGCCGCAGGAGGAGGAGGAGGAACAGGGTGCCAACCGCTGGAGGAGCACACCCCCAAGGGGAAGGCAGCGCGCAGATCCCAAACCCGAGAGGGTCGATGGGGCTGGCTTTCGCGCGCGTGTGGTCGAGGCAGCTCCTCCTGGAAGCCGAGTCGAGGAGGAAGGAGGATGGAGGATCGAGGAGGAAGGAGGGCGAGGAAGTCGAGAATCGAGGAGGAGGAGGGAGGAGGATCGAGGAGGAAGGAGGATCGAGGGTCGATCCTGGAGCCTCGTGGGGCCCTCGAGCCTGGAGCCTCGATCCTCGGGAGGAGCTGGCGACCCCACCCCCGGTGGCGACCCTCCTCGGCACTGCCCGGTGCCGCACGGCCTCCTGCAGGGCGCCCGTTTCGGTTCCTCCGACCCGATTCGACTTCGACTTCGGTGGCCTCCGATTCCGATGCGATTCGACTTCGGCTTCCGACTTGGGCTCCGATTTCTCACCGGAGGCTTAGAAATCCTGCCGATTTCCGCCGGTTCGACTTTTCCCGACTCGGCCGCCGATTTTCCGCCGATCCGATTCACGTCGATCGCCGATCCGACTTGTCGATCCGACTGCAGCTGGGGGCGCCTGCCCCCCGTCTCAGGGCGACGGAGCCCCTCGGGCTCCCGACCACAGGCGTGGCATCGCTCGGGCGTGCGCAGTGTGTTCTCGGCGAGGGCCGTCCACGAGCATCTCGGAGCACCTTGCGGAAAAGAAGCACGCACGAGAATGACAACAATGCGCGGGGAAGGGACGTCCGAGCGTTGGCGAGCAGGGGGCGCACGGGACGGGCTTTATCAGGGTTCTTTGGAGTCCTTCTGGGGCCATCTTGGCGCTCTTCGGGCTCCCCGGGCCGTTCTGGAGGGTCGCGGTGCCGCGCGGGTCTGGGGGGGGGGGCGGCCAGGAGCCATGTTGGGACCATCTTGGGGGCGTGTTGGGCTGCCTGGAGGGCCCTCGGGGCGGAGGTCTCCTGGACCTGCTCGGAGGCGTCTTGACGCAAGCAGAAGCCGTGCTTTGTTGTTTGCGTTGTTCCGTCTGCTCTTCATGGGCTCGTTTTCAAAGCCTCTAGAGTAATTGCTGAGAACTCGTGGGCGCATTGGAGCCCCTCTGGAACCGTCTTGGAAGGCATCTTGGGCGCGTTGGAGGTTCTGGAGAGTGGATCTGGAGGCTTTCCACGCTGCAGAGATTGGGTGGCGAGTTCCTGGGGGGACCACCCCTCGCTCCTCCCCCCCAAACCTCGGACAGGATGTCGGGCCCCCCTGGGGGATGGGAAGAGTGGGGGACAGCCAAGCATCACAAACGCCGTCTGAGGTCGGCTCAGTTTCGGCCTTCGGAGGCCTAAGCAGCCCGAGGGGCCGGGATCTCGGGTGACCCCGCACTGGCGAGAAACTGCGAAGCACGTCGAAGGTGTTTGGGGAGGCGTCGAGGGGTGGGGCCTCCCAGCCCCCCCTCCGTCCCGAGGTGGTCGGGTGACCGACGGCTCGCGACTCAAAGGTTGATGAGGCCATTTGTCCTTCCATCCCATCCTCCCCCCCCCATCGCCAACCTCGAGAGAAATCAGGCGATCGCAAACATGGATTAAAGGGGCGTGGAGTAGCGACGGGTCCCGTTTCCATGGGAAAATCGCGAGTTCCCGCCGCCGAGCGAGGCGGCACCGGCCGCATTTTGGGGAGGGCACCTCCCCAGATCCATGGATTTGGCGGTCGCGCGCCAAATCCATGGATCGCTAATCCATATCTGCGCGCTCCCGAACAAACAACGGCATAGGAATACACGTTCGGACGTACGGGAGGACTCCTCAGATCGGCACTGGGACCCCCGCGGCGGCGCCTCTGGCGCCGCCCCGGCCCGCAGCCGATCCAGGACAGCGGCGCGGAGTTCCGAAAGGTTGTGTGCTCGCCTTTTGTTTTCAGCTCTTTCTTTCTACGGCTGTGGCATGTCTGGGTGAGAGCCAAGGGATCTCTTGTCGGGCCGGACGAAAGGGGGGGATTGGGGAAAGGGGGGGGGGGGGTCACGAAATCTGCTGCATGCAGCTGGTTTCGGCCCCACCGCGGGGCCCATTCCTCGGTACGTAGCCGCCCCCCCCGTTGCTGTCCCCCCCTTTCGCCCGGCCCGATCGTGACAGGGACGGCTCGCCATGCCGGAGGCCGGGCGAGCCCGCGCAAGGACACCACTCGCGCAGACGACAGGCGGACGGCGGCCTGCTCCCGCCCAGACTCGCGCCCTGCTCCTCCACAGCTCGAGCGGGGGGCCCCTGGGCAGGGGCTTCCTTGAAGTCGGGACTGTCTTTCAAAAGGAGGAAGATGCAAAAATGGTCCACAAAAATAGTTTGGGGACGATAGTTGAACCGTTTTGGAGTATTGGGGGGCGTTTTTTGGCTATTCTGAATTTTCGTCCAAAATCCCCCTGTAGGGGGACAGGCCCGACCTAAGGCGTCTTCCTCTGGGTGGCCCATGGCGTCTCTCGTGGTACAGACTGTGTTTGTTACCCTCTAGGCCATAACGCGCGTTGCATGCCGCCCACATGACGTGTCGGCCACCCCCCAGGGCGTCCCCGGCATTGCCGCAGTGCGTGCAGTGCGTGCGGCACCACACGGCGGGCGGGTTCGGTGGCAAATCATGGGAGCTCGGTATACCTCCTCAGTTCCGTCTTCAGCGTCGATTAGTGTCTGGAGTCGATAAGATAGCGCCGATTCAGCGTCAAATAGCGTAGCGTCGTTTAGAGTCGAGTAGCGTCGATCTAGCGTCGATCAGCGTCGATTCGCAAGAGCCAGCAAGATGGTACGGGAGCCTCCCATGAGTTGCCACCGAAGGCGGGGTGCGTTCAAATCTGCCCCCAACCGTCCCCCCCGGAACGCCCGCTATCGCCGCGCATCAAAACGTGCCCTCAGACGTGGAGGATGCAGAGGGTCGGCGGCGAGCCCCGGGGCAAGAAGGGACCGCTTCGATCCGATCGATGCGATGCGATGTCGGGTTCGGCCAGGTCGATCCGATTCGACCTCGATGTCCCGGAGATCCGATGTGCGGCCCGACGCTCGCACTGCGCTGTTGTTTTTTTTCAGGGTGCAGCCGATCCTATCCAATTCCGATGTAGTGCCGATACGGCCTGATCCGACGCACGTTCGGGTTCGGTCCGACTTGCCGATGCGACGCTGATCGACGTTGGGGAAGCGATGGGGGGCACGGCCTCGGAGAAGGCGGCGGGGTTTCTCAGAAGCCCGCGCGCCGTCTGAGGAGTCGTCTGTGTCTTCAGGGAAGGCTTCAGAAGGCGTTGACGCCGGCGGGGCCCTGAGGTCTGACGTCGCATGAAAATGCAAGTTCGCGTGAGATCACAAGGGGTCCCTGAAGTACGACGTCGCGAAACAAATGCAGCATCGTGGGAGATCACCAGGGGGAGCCCTTAGGCCCGACGTCGCGAACCAAATGCAACATCGTGGGAGATCACAGGGGGGGGCCCAGATGTCCGATGTCGTGAGAAGGCGCGAGGGCTTCCTTCAAACTCTGCCGCCTTCGGAGCAGTTCCGCCCCTCGTTGGCCTCCCCCCCGAGCTGCAGCACTGGGGAGGGGCGCGCCAGGTCATCGACCGGCTGCCGCAGGACGCGCCGGAGCTGGCCTCGCCCCACGCTCGCGGTGCCCTCTCCCTGGCATCGCTCGGACGTGTGCGTTTCTGTTTTCGGCGAGGGCCATCGAGGAGCATCTTGGATCATCGTGCGAAGCACTAAACGCACGAAGCCGAAAAATGCACGGGATTGGACGTCCGAGCGATGGCGAGTCTCCGACATCCCGTCCTGCCACAGATCGGCTCGCGCTGCGCGCCTGTCCTGTGGGGTACCGACAGGCTTCGAGCAAGAACGTCCCAGGCGATTTGTGTTCCCCCCGGCTTTTCGACGAGAAATGGAACCGCTCAGAAGCAGAAAGGGAGGGGGACCCTGGGATACACCCCAAGGGGACTATTCGGACGCACCCATCACCGAGGATGTACGCACCCCCCCGTCGTGTATGCCAGGGTCGGGCCCAACATTGTTGGCCCGTTCGGAAAAGCCAGGAAGCCTGCGACAGGGGCCGATCTCCCCTCTCTTAGAAGAGTATACATGGTACACGACAGGATCATGGGGCGTTCCAGGATGATCTTCGCAGTTCGGCTGCCAAAAGATGCATAAAAACGTTGGCGGTCGGAGCTCCGCGCGGCGGACTCTCGGGATCTTCGAGGAGCTCCGAGAGGCCGCCGTGAGAATTCGAGGGTCACTGCGCTTCGAGAGCAGCGAGGGTGGGTCCAGTGACGGCGAGCCTAACAAACAAATACAACCCTGCGCTGCGCGCAAGGCACAGAAACGCGTTGCCCGTGCAGCATCTGGGCTCTGCTGTGCTTTCGCCCTCGTCGTGTACTGGGTGCCGGCATGGGCGACCTCGCGACGCCCGTCGCAGGATGAGGGGGGGGCGACCTCGCGTTGCCGTTGCAGATGCCAAGAGGGTGGGCGAAGACAAGGACCGTCAAGACGGGCAGGCAAGGCCGATCAGACACAAAGCAAGCATGCGAGGTATTAATGGCAGCGCGCGTCCACACAAGTATGGACACGATCGGGTTTGGGCGAGCTCGGCGCGCCTGGACTGGCGCGGCGCTTGCTCTTCAACGAGGGATGGTTTCGCTGAGAATGACGGCGGTGACTACGGACGAGCAATGGTCACGATGCTGGTGGGAAGCGATGATGGCCGCATGCCGCAGTGCGACGGCGGTGGGGGACCTGAGAAGAGGGCGAGTCGAGGCAGTCGTAGATGGCCTTCGGGGTGCCCCCCTCTGGGACCGCGGGTGGGGGGGTCCGTGGAACCGATTTTTTACGCCCTGCCGGGGGGGTGACGCCGGCCGAGCATGCCTGGCCGAGTTGCGTTGAGGGTCGCCCAGCTGCAGCTCATTGCACAGCGTCTGACTGTCTCAGTTGACTCTGCTGTCTTTTTCGCTTTTGCGTTGGTAATTAGGCCCTGCCGCGAGTGGTGTTTGGATTGGAGGGGATGAGGAAGTGCAGGATAAGTGGATGGTGCAGGTGGTCGATGTCACCAGTCGTGCGACATCGTTGGCTCCCACGTTCTGGGCCCCCTTGAGGCCCGAGTCAAACCAGAGTTTGAACCACTTCTCAAGTGTGCGTGTGTGTGTGTGCGTGCGTGCGTACGTGCGTGCGTGCGTGCGTGCGTGTGGCGTGTGGCGTTTGGTGTGTGGTGTGTGGTGTGTGGTGTTTGGTGTGTGGTGTATGATGTGTGGCGTGCGTGTGTGTGAAAGTGTGTGTGTGCGTCTTCGCGCGCGCGTGCGTTCATGCGAGTGTTTCATGCTCACTTCACCCCATCCGCATGCCTATTCCTCTAGCCGCCTCTCCCTTCTTCAGGCATTACTTTCCTCCCCACTCTCCCTTCTCTCAGCAACTTCGCAGAGTTATTGCACCATTGCTGGTCGGCCCTGCGTTTGATCTCGCGCGGCTGTCTCGCCCTGCGCTTCCTGTGCCTTTAGAGTGTGGCGGCCGCAATCTCTGCACAACTTTCCCGTTCCGGCCTGGTCGAGCGAAGGCAACACGACGGGTTCGATTGTGCGGACACTCGCGCGTGATTTGCTTGCTGCCCCAATAGATTGCATCCCGCCCTGGCGCCCCGCGTCAGCCACCGCGTAAGATCGCTGTGCGCATAAGACTCTTTCCTTTTCGCCGCTCAGTTGTGCCAGCACCCGTTGATCCTGAGTTGCGTTGCACAAAGGACTTCAAGGTGGACATCTGGGCTGCGGGCGTGCTTCTGTTTGAGATGCTCACGGCGAAGCCGCCGTTTGTGGGATTCAACCAGGCGTTGACAATTGAGGCGATCAGGAGCGCCATTGCAATTCTGGCAGGCTTAATTTTCTTGCATGTGTGAGGTTCAAGCTGATGGCGTAATGCGTTACACGTAATGTGGCATAATGCATAATGTGGCGTAATGCGTCCACCGCTGGTGCTGAAATAATGGGTAATACCATACGCCAGACATAATATCTCTGAGGCACCGCATGGCTGCAAGCTGATGTCAACCAGCGTGCACAGGACGCAGACACGCGAGCCATTAAGCCGGCTATGGTAATTAAGCGTTGCAGAGAGTGCACGTAGTGCCATATCGAGGGGAGCAGCGGCACGAACCTATATTCGACGGAGATGTGATGTTGGACGACATGCGTTATTTATTTCGTCGTTGCCTCGTACTGGTGCGCAAGGTCTTTGCCTTCGCCTGCTCGTTCGCAGGGAGGTCGCCATTCTTGTCTCTCCCCCGTTCCCCCCCGTGTAGTGAAGCAGGTTCGTGTCGTGTCGACGCGGCAGCGACCCCAGTGCGGGTGGTCACGATTGAACGCCGCCGATGCCACGGAATTGTACAAGATCTAACAGTTTGCGCCATTGGGAAGAAAGCGGCGATTGCCCAAGTTTGATTGATCCAAGCGGTTTCAGAAACCATCGAGCACGTCGTCAGAGCACGACCTTGGTGCAGCTGACTGGGGGTCTCCTGTTCGCGCGAAACCTTTCCAAGTCGCACGCGTGTGGGCCCATTCGGTGCGAGACCCTCCCTTTCCGCGACTGCGGAGGCCCTGGTACGAAAGTTGCCAGAGGAGGAGGGGGAGGAGGAGGACTGGCAGGGGGAGGGGCAAGGGGAGAAGGGTCGGCGAGGGACGCGAGAGGGGGTAACTAGGAGGTTTCGTCCCCCACGTGAAGGGGCCCAGATCGCGACGACAAGCGTTGCCGTCGACTGGTTGAGGCTCGACTCGGGCCTCCCTGAGGCAGGGGCAGCAACGTTTCGGGAGAGGCGGAGTGCTCGCCATCGTCGCCGTCGTCGAGGACGCCATTCCTCGAGGAAATTCGAACATGGATAGAGGCGCGTGGATTAGCGACGGGTCCCGTTTCCATGCAGGAGCGGCGCGCTCTGTCGCCAGATGCGGCGGCATTGGCGCCACGGTTCGAGGGCTGCGATCCCCGATCCGTGGATCTGACAACCAACCGCCGCCAGCTCCACGGATCCCGAATCCATGTCAGCGTACGCCCGATTCAAACGGAGGAAGCAACGCCTCGGGAGAATCGCAGTCCCACGTCGTCATCGTCGTCGTCGTCGAGGATGCCCGTCTGAGTCCCGCGGGCAGTCAGACGAGCAGCCCCGAGCGCACGCGCGCGCTAATCGCGCACCCGTGCGCCTTGCGCACACGGCGCGCCTCACCCTGGCAGTGTGCAGAGGCCCGCTTCTGCTGATGAGGCCTTTGCCGATGATCCTCAGGACGCGTGTGAGCCCCACGTGTGTGCTTACCCCGTTCCCGTTCTGGGGCCCTCCGCCGGCATTCCGCCCCGCGCCCCGCGCGCGCCTTCCCCTGCTCCCCCGTGCCCCACTTCGCCTCGGTTGCATCCCGCCGTTGCTCGCGGCCTGCTTGCCTCCTCGCGGCCGCCGGCTAGAAAGTTTTCACCCCCCCGTTCAGCACTACTGGCAGCACGCAGGTTGCGCGCGCCCGTCGAGGGATTTCGGTGGACAAGCATTTGTTTGGCGCTGGCTTGCGTTCAAAGGACGTTCGATATTGTATACAGATGCCTATAACAATCTATATATGTATGCATACACATGTATAAAACTATACATCTATATTCACATACAGCTTTCCATACACCTGTATGTGTATACTTCAATAGATAGATGTATCGGGTCTGTCGAGGCGGACGACAGGGGGCACGGGGGAGAGGACAGGTCTCCAACGTGGCGGCGTGCAGCCGGTTTTTCGGCCCCCCCGCTGGGCGCTGTTTTATCTTCGGAGCTCGGAACACTCAGAGGAGGAAAAGGCACTGATACCGTTGCCCTCGCTCATTTTCCGTTTCCTCGGGCCTCCTGGGACAGCCCTTCGTCGCCACCGCTGGATTCGCTGCGAGATTCTGGGCAAGACGCTCCCCAGGAGAGGTCCGGGGAGTAGCGGTATCGGTACTTATGCTTTTCCTCAAACATGGTTGCCCCGCTTGCGGTGCCCGAAGGCCCCACAAGCACATTCCGTGTGTAGCTGATTCGCTAACCTTGAGCCGGGCATGTCTCTCTACAGGCGAAATATATTCAGACATAGTCAAACATAGTCAGGGGACGATTTGTTGATTATTCCCCATATCCTAAGATGGGGTCTTGTTATTACTTGGACGGCGCCGACTTTAACCAGAATCAGAACCCCTCCTCTCCTCCCTCCACCTCTCCTCCCTCCACCTCCGTCCTCTCTTCTTCCTCAAACTTACTCATGCACAGACTTACTCTTACTCAGACTCATTTATATTCAGACCTAGTCATACTCAGGCTTACTCATACTCAGACTTTCTCATGATCATATTCATTTATACTCAGACCAAGTCATACTCAGACTTACTCATACTCAGACTTACTCATACTCAGACTTACTCATACTCAGTCTCGCTATCCTAAGATGGGGATATTGTTAGTCCTTGGACTCCTCCTACTCATCCTCCTCCTTTATCTGCTCGTCCCCTCATCTTCTCGTCTCATCCTATTCGGACTCACTCATACTCAGACTTACTCATACCCAGACTTACTCATACACAGACTTTCTCATACACAGACTTACTCAAACTCAGATTTACCCATACCCAGACGTACTCATACACATACTTACTCATATTCATACCTACGCCTACTCAGACCTCTTAGTCTGATTTACTCAACACACATCATATTTGGAGGATGTCTCAGGCGGGGCGCTGGTTTTCAGCACCCCTAAGGGGAGCCGTCAGGGGTGTTTGCACGGGCCCGTTCGCGGCCATTTTGTGGGGATGTCTCAAGCGGTTTGCCTGTTTTCATGCTCAACACCCTTCGCTTGGTGAGCAGATTGTGAGGACGTTTGAGGCGGGGCGCTGGTTTCAGCACCCCTAAGGGGAGCCGAGCCGCCAGGGGTGTTTGCACTGGCCCGTTCGCGGCCATTTTGTGGGGATGTCTCAGGTGGTTTGCTCGTTTTCACGCTCAACATCTTCTGCTTTCAGAGCAGGTTGTGAGGATGTCTCAGGCGGGGCGCTGGTTTCAGCACCCTAAGGGGAGCCGCCAGGGGTGTTGCACGGGCCCGTTCGCGGTTTTTGTGGGGATGTCTCAAGCGGTTTGCTCGTTTTCATGCTCAACATCCTTGGTTTTCATTGGAGGTTTTGAGGATGTCTCAGGCGGGGCGCTGGTTTCAGCACCCCTAAGGGGAGCCGCCAGGGGTGTTTGCCGGGGCCCGTTCGCGGCCAGGTTGTGCCGCTCCGGCACGTGGCACTATCCTACAACCTGATCTGCACATATGGCCTTATGTGGCTAAACGCTCGTTTTACAGATCCCACTGCCAACTATCCTAAATGAGATGCACGTACGAGGAGCTCCGACGCCACCACGGGCTGAGGAGGGCACGGCCTGGCAGCAGAGGAGGAGGAGTGAGGAGGAAGAGGCTCTTATTGAATCATACTCCTCATTATGACTCGTACTCACTCGCTGGCATGAGGATTCACTTGTCTTTGGGCGCGCTCTTATAGTCAGACACTCATGAACAGACGCACACTACGGCATAAGATAAAACATGAGACGCACATATGGGGAGCTCCACGCAGTGAGTAATTTGTTTTACTAGTTTGGGGCATTTTTGAGTGTCTTGTATTTTTCCTCCCAAATCCGCCTGTAGGGGGACACGCCCGACCTAACGCTAACTGCCCTTTTGTTATCCCTTTTTCTCGTTCACCCCATAGCCTCGTGCGCCCTGCCTCTGCCACCTGCGCTCTGCTCCCCATAGCCTTCGACATCGTGTTACTCGAATGCGCGGCTGGCGCCCACCAAACCACACTACCAATCCACCAAACCACCCCCCGACCCAACCCGAAGGCCCCACGCTGCCCTCGATTCCCAGTGGGGGCATTCGGGGACATGGGCAAACCACCGATGCAACCCGCACGCCCACCGACCCGAAATTTGGGACCTCGGGTAGGCAAACAATCACAGGGCTCGAGCCACACGGTGTGTTGTCGATTTCGTGGGCCGTTCTCGTTTTGATTTCGTTTTGCACCACAGGCGGAACGAAGACAGAACGAGGGAACACGAAAACAGAGCGAAAACGGAACACATTGTTTAGCTCGAGCCTTGGCCAATCATGGGCACATGTGTTTCACCTCGCATGGTTGCTTGACGTGCGCGAGGCCCGACAGAGGCGCCTCCCGTGGACGAAGCGGATGAGAATTTGGCCGTCTTGATTGTTTGTTTGTGCCTGGCCAGGACGGGCGTTGTGCCGTATGTCGAGCCTGGCTGGTCAAGGGTACCCTTGTGCCCTGTCTTCATAGACCCGTGACTTTTACGGGTAGAATTTCCTCAGTCGGACCGCACTAAAGTTGAAAAGGGTTGCAGTCGAAGCGCATAGTAAGGATGGGCAATATTCCAGGGTTACCTTTGCATCCTTCCCCTTCGGCCCATCCTTGGTCGCTTTCGCTGGCCGCGCCCCGCTCGCAAAGTGTCGTCGACATGGCCTTCCAAGGCCATTGCATTCTGATCGTGCGTTCTTAGTATACAGATTGACCGTAGCGCGAAACGTCTGAGAAACCATATGTTTGCGTCTGAGAAACCATGTGTCCAGCGCTTTGCAGTTGTTTTTGGCGGCTTGCTTCTTCCGTAGCATGTGTCGCAGGACCGATGTGTGGTTTTTTTTGTTTGTGGTCGTGGCATGGGTTCCGTTTGTGTTCTTGTTGTTGCAGGCCCACGCGAGCGCTATTTTTCCTACTCCAACCATTCTGTCCGCAGTGATTCTCGCCCTGTGTTCCCAGCCTCCACGTATGCCTCGCTCTCGACGCCCAACAGCTGCACGGTGAGCAAGAGCAGACAGGTTTTTAAGTTCGGAGGCCGATGTATGGCCAGTGCCCCTCGCACGCGTAAATTATGTTTTTACGTTTTCGGTTTTGTCGTGCCCGACATTGTATTTGGAGGGCGTCTCTGCTTTTCATGTCTTCCCCATGCTCTCTTCGCATCCCCCACTCTTTCCTTGTAGCTTACCCACACGTGAACTCATAGACCACGGCCAGTAAACAGTTTGGTGACGGATGAAGCGTGCGCCGCGGAACTCGATTTATGCATATTCCTCTTCCTATATGTTTATAAGCCCAGGCGGGGGGGAAACCCATCACCCCCCCCCAAAAAACCAGACTAACGGGATCTGGGGCTTTGGGACCCTCCAGACGGGCCTCGAAGCGGCCCCCGGGCCTCACATGGCGCTTTGCCAAGCCTTCCCAGAGCACCTAGGACGATCAGGGGGGTCATCGGAGACGTCCCAGAGACCCCCACGAAAGCACAAGAGCGCTCCAAGAGTGACCGACGTGAACTCAAGATGGCCCAAGAGGCCTCCAGGACGGCCCCAAAGAGGCCCCCAAGAGCACTCCCAAGAAGGCCCCCCGAGGCAAAAATCATTGATTTTCTTTCGGTGTTTCGTGAATTTTAGGGTTCTCCTCTTTTCGGCTTCCCGACGCTCCAAGACGGCGGTCTTCTGGGCGTCCGAAGCCGCCTGGGAGGCTCCACAATCGCCCCGCAACCATCCGAAAGGGTTTTCAGGCAGTCCAAGAGACGCCCAAAACGGCACAACACGGGTCCAAGATGACCTTCAGAGAGCCCCATGGCGGCCCAAGATGGTCCAAAGACACCCTCCGAAGAATTCCAAATCGTGATTCGGTCGTTCAGGGAGACCGCGGTTGGAGGCAGGGTGGCCCGAGGAAGCCCCCGGAGGCCCCCAGAATACGCCAGGAGGTCTCCAGAAGGCCTTAAGAAGGCCTGAAACAACTTTTGTGAGGCCCCTAGAGGCTCTCCAAGGAGGAGCATCCGCAAAAAAGAGCTGAGGAGGATGGGGAGAATGCGCAGGGCATGGCGAAAATGAGGAAAAAGAAGCATGGAGGAAGGATGACGACAAAACATAATTATAGCGGCGATGCCAGAAGAGGCAACCAGGAGTTATCGCTAAATTGTCGGCTTGACCTTCCTGCTATTCCGCCTGCATACCAAACTTCAAGGACCAAGGTGCATGGCGCAAAGCGCCATTGCAGTTTTGTGTATATATATATACATATATATATATATGTGTATATATATATATATAGATATAATTGCCGCCTGCCCATCTCGCAACCGTGCCTGGCTTGTAGGTCATAGACATCTAGGGTGTTCGGGACCGTCTGGGGCGCTTGGGGGGCCTAAGCTAGACAAATCTTCAGGATTGATGACTGATGCTCAGGAAATCTGAGGATTGATGACATGCATGCATGCGTGCATGCATACATACATACGTGCATACATACGTGCATGCATGCATGCATACATACATACACCGTTACATCGACACATAACATCATATGTGCGCGAAGGTGCGCGGCATGCATGGTGCACATGGGCCACTGGCCCCCACCCACATCCCCAGGCACGTCATTCTTGGCCGCGGGGTGGTGGCTGTGCACAAATAACAACCCCCCTGCGGGCACCGCCCCTGCCAGGGAGCTGGTCTGGCACGGGGCCGCCGCTTCCCTCGCGCCGGCGGGGGCATTGAGGTTCAAGGGGCCAGTGCGACCTGATCAGGGGCAACGATATGGGGGGGGAGAGGCATGAGGGGGGAACGCATCTACCCCTAATCGCTCATTGATCGCGAATTGGGGTCTGACAGCCTCACCACGCCCAGGAAAGTGCGGTTTCGCTATCGGGGGTCCACCGCCGATCTCTCGGTGATGTATCGCCGATTCCAGGTCGATGCATCCGCCCTTATGCCAGTCCCCCCAAATTGTTGCCCCTCACCAAAGAGCCGGCCAGCGCGTCCCATACACGTCTGGAGGTCCGCGCGGATTTCTTGGACCTTCGCTGGGCGCCCCTGGCGCGCTCCGCACGCCAGCAAGGGGAGCCCAGCGCCGATGCAAGAAATCCGCGCGTGCCTCCGACAGTTGATGGTTACGTCGTTTGTTTTTTGTTCCTCGGGCACCGATGCTCATCTGCACAATGCATTCATATACTTCTGCACGGGCGACCCGTCCGTTCTGGGCCTTCGCTCTCTGTCACTCTTGAGCGGTTCGCCCGTTGACGCCAGATTCGGGCTCACATAGTTCAAGCAGTGACGAAGCGTCTTGGCGTGCCTATAGGCCTACCAAAGAATGTCCTCATAACCAGCCAGAAATGTTCTTAGAACATTTCTGGCTGGGACTGTCTTGCTTTTACACATCGGTTGTATGTTCTAAGAACATTGATGCTGTAGTTCGAACATGTGGGGGTTCTAAGAACATTTCTGGCTAGGCCTATGGGAATGCCGGGACGGTCGGTCCCTGCTCAAATGTTGTGGCAGCACGAAGTCAAGAGGAGTTTGCAGGTGGTGGCTAAATCCCTGGGTAGCGCTGGCGAGCAGGACTCGGGCTCCCACAGGTGAGGCTCGAGCCCGACAGGGACGGCCGGAGTGTGCTCGGGGAAGCGCGTCGCTGCCTTTCCCCATTCACGTTGAGTCTGCTTCGGCGATCGCTGCTCTTCGCGCGGATTGTTTCAGTACAGACGACGCTTTTCCGTTGTTGCCCTTCTCTGGAGATTGCGTGGTCCCCATCACAAGCGAATTAGTGTCTGAGACGGAAACGTCTCCTCAGGGTTGAAGGGATCTTGATTTGTGGTGCCTTGGATTGGAAAGATCCATCCGCTTGAACTCTACGGGCGCGCGGGAGTTTTCTCGTGTTGCAGAGGCAGATCCCATTGCACGTTCTCGTGCAGTCGAGAAGCAGATGCCAGCTTGCGCTGCCAGAGGAGTGGCGCGGGGGCCCAACCCACGCGAAGACAGGTGTCCAGAGATCGCCAGCGCATCGGATCGGCAGTCGAGGCGCCAGGCGTTTTTATTGCAGCGTGCTTCTTGTGTGTTGGAGGCGTCGGGCAAGGCAAGAGGGGGATGAAGATGATGGCGATGATCGGAACTGCCTGGGTGGAGACGGGAGACAAAAAACATACCAGCGCGGAGGCCCCCGCCCTTCCCCTCCCCCCCCCCGGGGCACGCAGGAGCGCCGACTTCGAGTTTCCCGAGTACGTGTCGGCCTTGGCCAGGGACTTGGTGTCCAAGCTGCTCGTCAAGGACAGCTCTGGAGGCTTGGAAGTCGGTGAGCGGAGGGGCTGTGGATGCGTCGTTTTGTTGCGCTTGTGCGGTTGCGGGCTGGTTTTCTAAGAGATGCCAGAGACGTCTCAAGATGGCTCCCCATAGCACAATTCAGGAGTACTGTTCAATCGGCCTCCCGTCGGTCGTCTTATACGTCGCAGGCCTCGGGGATCCGAGTTGTGTGGGCCCGTTCACGAGAAGCGGGGCCTGCGACTGGTGCACGTGGGATGGGCGCTGGACTGCGGGACGTGGGATGGCGCTGTTCGACGTCCCTCCTCCTTTCCGCGCTCCTTCCCTCCCGCGCCCCTCGCCCGCTTCCTCCTTCCTTTCTTCCTCCCTCCCTCCCTCCTTACAGAAAGGAGAAGGAGGAGGAGCAGGAGGAGGAGGAGGGATGACCAGACGGAGGGGGGAGGGGAAGGATGGGGCAGCGGGAGGAGGATGTCATTGTTGCTCCACTGGCACTGCCTGGCTCCGAATCACGGCGTGCACCTCTGCCCGGCGTTGTTTTGCGAGGGCTTCTCGCGCGCCTCGCGTCTGCCCGTGCTCCCGTGGCCGTCCTGCGTGCCCGCGCGGCTGCCGCTGCTGCGGCGCCAGCGGGGGGGGGGGAAGACCCCGGAGCCCTCCGCGGCCCAGGAGCGGTGGAAGCGCCCCAGCCTCGTGGAGGTGGCCGAGCACCCGTGGATGCACCAGCACGTGGTGCTGCCCCGCCTGCTGCAGGAGGAGCATGCCCGCCGCCGTCGGGCGCCGTCGTCGTCCTCCTCCCTCCTCCCTCCCTCGTCATCCTCCTCCACCTCCTCCTCTTCGTCGTCCCTCCTTCTCCGCCACCCTCCCCGTTCCTCCTCCCCGTTCCTCCTCCTCCTCCTCCTCCTCCTCCTCCTCCTCCTCCTTCGACCTCTCCCACCTCCCTCTCCCTTGTCCTCGTCCTTCCTCATCCTGTTTTTCCTGCTCAGCATCTTGCTCATCCGCCACCTCCTTCAATGTAGACAGCCCCAGTTCTCTGCCGGGTTCCTGCTGGGGGCTCCCCGTCTGCTACGGTTCGCGTCGGCGGATGGAGGAGCCACCAACGCACCGGCAGGGGAGGGATGGGAGGGGCAGGATGTCAGATATGGAGCGAGCGCGCACAGCTTGCCCTCTCCCCTCTCCCCGCTCCTTCCTCTCCCCCTCCTCGAGGGGAGGGGTGGGAGGGGCAGGATGTCAGATATGCAGCGAGCGCGCACAGCTTGCCCTCTCCCCTCTCCCCGCTCCTTCCTCTCCCCCTCCTCGGCCGGCCTCCATGCCGCGCGCGGGAGCGCCGTGGCGTTCGCCCGCACCGCTCTGCCAGGCCGACGCGCGCGCGGGCGCCGCGAGGAAGAATGAAGCCGCTCAGAAAGCAGGCGGGAAGCCTTGGGACCAGACCCCCAGGAAGCCATTCGGCGCACCCCTGTCGAGGGTGGACGTCCCCCCATCGTATATCCAGGGTTGGGCCCCGAATTCCTTGTCCAGTCGAACAGCTCCCAAAGCCTGGGATGGGAGTCGAAACAAACTCCCTGTTAGTAGGGGGAGGGGGGAAGGCTTCTTAGAGGCACCCTGCGTCTTAGAAGGTGCGGGCCGTGTCTACAGATGTAGGGCCGGCGCCTTCTAAGAAGCAGCCTCCTTTGAAGAAGCCTCCCCCCCTCCCCCTACTCCCCTCTGCGCGCCGCCGCGGGGGGCGGTAGCAAATCACTGAAGCTTCGTGTAACGTGTCGAGTCCGTGTTGAGGGTCGATTTGCGTCGAATAGCGTTGAGTAATCACTGAGATGGCGCCGGTTCAGCGTTGGATGGCGTCGGTCAACGCCGATTAGCGTCGATTTCGCGTCGACCACCGTCGACTGGCGCCGATTAGTCAACGAGCGCCGAGTAGCGTCGGCCAACAAGATGGTATGGGAGGCTCCCATGAGTTGCCACCGACGGGGGAGCGTTGCGTGATGCCCTTACGTTGTGCCTCCCCTTCTCCCCCCTTCTCCCCCCTTCTCCCGACATAACTCTCGTTGTGGCCCCACGAATAAAAGAAAGCGCTCCCGACGTCGCCGTCTGCGGAGTTCTCGACATGTCCCCAGGGAGGTCACAAGGGAGGGCTGGTTTTGCATCCCGAGCTGGTTTCTGACGGTCCCAGGGCTCGGTAATGGTCCCGCGGAGGCCGAAAATTGCTTGAAAGGTTTCCGCCGTGCTTCTTTTGACGACGCGATGGGGGTCTGGGGCCAGGGGTCGAGAGTCGCTCTCCGGACCCGTCCACGCTTGCGTCCTGGCCAGAGCCCAGATGCGGAACCAGCCGTGGCTTCGAGAAGCCCCCGGGAGGTCGAAGACGGCAGCAACCACAAGAATTCAGTCATCGAAGCTGCGGTACCACCCAGTGGCGCTCCAGGGCTGCCCCGCCCGTCCTCGCGTCCTCGTCGCCGTCTTCGTCATCCTCCGAATCCTGCGGGCCAGCGCGGGTTTTCTCCCTGAGCCGACGCCCTGCTGAGTCAGGGGATGCGGGCCCTGCGCAGCGAGTGACCTATGGAAGGGCGCTCTACGACCTGCTGTGTCAGGGGATGCGGGCCCTGCACAGCGAGTGACCTTTGACAGGGCGCTCTCAGGCGCTCTGGGGGGCATCTCGCAGCCTTGCGGAAGGCGGGAGCCCACCAGGACTGCTTGCGGGCATGGCTCTCCAGAGGGGCGCCGTCGCCACCGTCGACCGCGCCCGCCGTCGCCGTGGTCGTCGCCGCCGTCGCCGCCGCTGCCCCCCTGGTGGCGCGCCAGGACTGCCTGCGGGCGTGGCCCAGGGGGGCGCCGGCGTCGCCGTCTACCGCCAAGGCGCCGAGGGCCCGGCCGCGAGGCTTCGGTCGCCGTTGGCGTCGCCGCCGCAGTCGGCGTGGCCGTCGATCGATGCAGGACCGGGCATCGAGTTCTGCTCGATCCTCGATGTAGGCCTCCACATGGTCCGCTTCGGACCCCAGGATCGACGGAAATCGATCCGGGATGAAACCATGGAGGGCTCTCAGGAACGATCTTGAGCGGACTTGGAGTCGTCGCCACGCTGCCCTCGTCATCGGCGCTGTCGTAGCCGCCGTCGCCATCGCAGCCGTCGCCTTCGTCAGTCATCGGAAGTTGTTTTGCGTGTTCGATTGCTTTTGGCTACTTCTTGTAAATTATTTGCAGGAGTTCCTGAAGATTCGTGCAGGAGATGGGATCCGAGAGGAGGGTGAAGAGGACGGTCGGGCACATTGTGTAGGCGGACGCCTGTGATGTCTCGTCGGACCGTCGCATGCTCCATGCGCACCAGTCGCGGGCCTCCACCTTCTGCAAAGGGTTGCTGCATTCTCCTCTCCTTGGTGCCCGTGGGCCCCTGGCTGGGGAGGGTGAGCTCCTCACAGGGAGTCCGAAGTGGAAAGAACCCCGCCCCGTTCGGCCGCTGCCGTCGCGGTCCGTCGCCGCCGTCGTCGCCACCGCCGTGGCCGTCCTCGTCGTTGCCGCTGCCGCCGCCGATTGTCGCCGCCGCCGCCCTCATCGTCCTCGCCGATCGATCCAGGAGCACGGATGGAGGATCGGTTGATCCTCAGTTTTGGCATCTTGGGGCCTGTTCCAGACCCTTGGACCGCGCGTCAGAAACCAGTACGGGATGAACTATTGCCTGGGACCGATTTCGAGCGGGTTGTGGCTCGTCGCCGCCGTTGCCGCTGCCGCCATGGTCGTCGTCTTGACTCCCGTCGCTTTCAGCGGTTTCTTATAGGTTTCGGACGTTTCCGGTTGCTCGCGGGGTCTTGTGTCCGTCTTGCGGGGGTTCTCGAAGAGTTTCCGAGACGTTCGCAGGCCACAACAGGAAGGGGGAAGAGGGAGGACGGAGAAGGGGTCTTCGTTGTCGTGTCGTGTCGTGTCGCCGCCGTCGTCGTCGCCGCCGCCGCCGCCGTCGTCGTCGTTGTCGTCGTCGGAAGTTTGATGGTTTGTTAGCCGTTTCTGGCCTTGTGGGGCGCTTTCGCCGCCACGGCTGCTCGCTCGGAGCGGTGGTCTGCTGACGCTCGCCAGTGAGGTAGGGCAATCGAATAATTCTGGACATCCCGGGAGCCCGGGGAATCCAGTAATCATGCGAACGTGGTCGCCCGGGAGCCCAATCGGAACCTGGTCTGGGCCACTGTAAGACCAGTTACGGGACTTGTCGTTGCAGAAGTCACTCGTGCCGTTGGGCACGGTGGCGGATACGGACATGCGCGCACTGCGCGTTGGGTTTGTCAGCCGTGCTACGCATGCGCGAGACGCCGGTCACGGCGTCGGAATGTCCTCCCGCCGCATTGTTTTCCAGGACTCCCCATGACGGTCCGAGTGGATGGGGTCAGAAAGGCGCCGCATCGCCGCTGTATCGGCGATTGCAGCTCGATGTGGAGCCCGATTCTCTCCACACCGTCAGCGACGATGCATCGCCGACGTCGCCGATGCATCGCCGATGCATTCGCTATTCATCCGCGGACGCGGCGCAATCGTCCGACCCCATCTACTCGGACCTCATGTTGAAAGCCTCTATACGTCCGAAGCTCCACCAGCCTGGCTGCGCTTTCATCAGGAGGGGCACCAACACACGGACACGAGCAATGGTTGACTCCCAGAGACGTACTGGGACACTGTGGAAAAATATGGGGGGGTGGGGAGGAAGACGAAAACCCACAAACACAAAAATGAATGCATAGGTGTGTATAAACATGTGTATATGTATATGTATATATATATATATATGTGTGTATGGGAAGTCCTGGGATGTGTGTCGAGTTAGTTGTGTGTTCCTGGGCCCTTTTGATCTCAGCGTCGGCGCGCGTGCAGAGCGTGCCCGCGCCCCCTCCCGCCGCAGGCATGCGACGCACAGGCTGCCGAGGCCACGCAGCTGGCCCCGGCGGCCTGCGGCGGCAGCAAGCTCTCGGCGCCCGTGGTCCCTCCAAGGGGGGGGGGAGGAGGAGGAGGAGGAGGAGGAGGAGGAGGAGGAGGAGGAGGAGGATAGGAATAGGAATAGGAATAGGAATAGGAATAGGAATAGGAATAGGAATAGGAGGAGGAGGGATACGAGGAGGAGGAGGAGGAGGAGGAGGGGAAAGGAGGAGGAGGAGGAGTAGGAGGAGGAGAAGGGGGAGGGGGAGGAGGAGGAGGGGGAGGAGGGGAGGACGGGTAGAGGCTCAGGAGGGACAAAAGCACAGAGACACAAGTGATCGTCGATCCCCATGGAAATATGGGATACTATGGGAGGTGGGGGTGGGGAGCACGAAAGTCAAGAAAACATGATGGGGAGGCTCAGGAGGAAAACACACAGACGCAACGAATCGTCGATCCCCAGGAAAACATGGGAAACTACGGGAAGTTGGGGGAACACGAACATCCAGAAGACAAGAAAGTAAGGGGATATTGGAATGTGTGTGTGTGAGTGTGTGTCCCTGGGCCCCTTCAGAGGCGCAAGAGAGGCAGCTTTAGGACGTAGGCTGAGGACGAGCAGCCCTTTCTCCGAGAGCATGTCTGCGTTCGAGAACTGCATGGGTGTCGACATTGGGAGCCTTGGGCGGCGACATTGGAGTCAGCTCGTCCTGAATTTGGACCGCATGTGACCTTTCCTCCTGCTCCTCCTCCTCCTCCTCGCCCTTCCGTTCCTCCTCCCCCTCCTCGTTCTTCTCGTCTCCCCTGTGGAGGGGAAACTGGTCCACATCCGGCCCCACATGTGCTCCAAGTCCGGTCAGCACCCGGCCCGAATCGGGCAGCGAAGGGTGCCACGCAGGCGCCCATGGAACGGACACCAAACTTGGCGAGACCCCCGTCAGAGAAGGTCCAGCGGATCGGGCGGCACGCAGCGGCAGGAGGGGCAGCACCGTGACCAGAGGAGAAAACACACGAGCAGCAGGAGCTGGGATGCTTTCGGGCGGGGCTGGGACGACGGTGCTGGAACGCTCTGCGAAGGCCGCGGCGCCCGAGACATCTTCCAGACCCGCCACATCTCAGAGATTATCGATCTGCCTTCACCAGATTTTTGATCCTCGTCCTGTGCTTCGTCTTATGCTCTCACCTGTGCTTTGCTGGTCTCGGCCCCGCCCTGGCGCCGGGCGCTGGGCCGGCTGGCCGGCTGGTGCACGCCCGCGCCCGCCCGCCGCGCCCAGGTCGCGTCCACCGGCGCCAGGCCCGTGGAGGCCCCTGGACGATGACGACGACAGCGGCTGAGACGGCGGCGACGACGAGGGCGAGGCCGACGAGGACGACCGCGACGACGAGGAGGACGAGGGCGACTTCGACGCCGACGACGCCGAGGTCGATGACAGCCACGAGGTCGACTAAGCCGAGGGCAAATGGGCGACGACGGCGACGTCGACGACGACGTCCTGGTTGGCTGCGGCGGCGGCGATGCTGGCGACGAAGTCTTGGACGAGTCCGCGGCTGGAGCTTGCCCCGCACAGGCCTCCAGGGCCTGGCCGTCGTCGCCGTCGTTGTCGTTGTCGTCGTGGTCCTCGCCGCCACCGCCGTCATCGTCGCCAGGAGAGGAGGAGGGGAAGAAGGAGGAGGAGGAGGAGGAGGAGCAGGAGGAGGAGGAAGAGGAGGAGGAGGTGGAGAAGGAGGAGGAGGAGGAAGAGGTGGAGAAAGGCGCAGCATGGAGTAATTCGAGCGACTCGTGGACAGAGGATGAGGAGAGGATGGGGATGGGGGAGGGAGGAGAGGTGGGTGCGGACGATGGAAGAGCAAGGCGAAAGGGAGGAGGGGCGGGATGAGGAGGGGGAGGGAGGAGGTGGATGGACGAGTGGGTTCTGGTGGGATCTCGGTTGCAGGGGAAGTCTTGAGAGTCAGGGGAGGGGGATGGTGGATAGGAGGAGGGGGGGGAAGAGGACTAGATGGACAAGGACAAGGGCGTTCGATCATTGGCCGAAGCTCTCAGCGTCGAGGCATCGAGGTGGAGAGGGAGCAGGGACAGGGTTGGCGGCGCCCACAGGGAATTGGCGCGAGGCTTGTAGCCTTCGGAGAAGGCGGCGTTGTTTCTAAGAAGGCAGGGGGGCTTCTGAGAAGCCCAGAAGCCTCCTTGGAAGCCTCTGGGCCCCTCAAGAAGGCCCCCGCCTACTAAAGAGACCGCTCCGCCTTTTTAGAAGGCCGCCTCCCAATCGCCGTCCCCCCCCCCCCAGTGCAGTCGCGCCGCCAGCAGGGGCAGAAGCAGAGGAGCGGTCGGGAGGCCGAAGAGCAGCAGCACCAGAAGGATTTTCGGGGGTCGCGAGTCCTGGAGCCTCCAGGTCTGTGCCGTCCTCCGCCCCCCGCCGAGAGACCACGCCGTAGAACAGCGTGGCCAATGATAGCATGACTGGTGCTGAGACAAAGAAGAACAATAATAATCAGAAACATAATAATAATAATAATAATAATGATAATAATGATAATGCTACTAATAATAGTACACGTACGGATAGCACTACTATACACAACACGAATGGTAATACACATGCTAAGAGGAAGAAGAGAGATGATACTGACTTCGACGACTACGACACAACCAAGACAAACTACTCTTCCCTGGCCCACGATCCTCGAACGACCGACGCGGGACGCGATGCGATAGCGGCGTCTTGCGCGCTCGGGTCCCGGTTCCCCCTCGGCGCCCCCCAGAAGCTGCGCACCAAAGGCCCCTCTTGCCTAGGGTCGCTCTTGCGCGTAGCCGACTGGGGCCCGCCTGCTCCCCCCCACTCTTCCCCCCCCGGATAACTTGACCCGGGTAACTTGACCTCGCCGGCTGCGCAGGCCCGGAGGTGTACGCGATAGTGGTGCTCGAGCATTTTCTTCGGGCGGAGGGCAAAGGGTGAAATCTGAAATGCCGTTTCGATTGATTTTCGAGGTTTGAATTTGCAAAAGGTGAGTCGCAAGACGGACTTTCCGAGGTGCAAAAGCCCTCGGAAAATGTTCAGGGTACGCGCGGGCATGCGAGGGGCTGCCCGAAGCGAGAAGGTCAGGTTCTCAGCCGTCGCGTCCCCCCTCCCCACCTTCCCGCAGGACAGCCCGGGCCATCGCCGAAGTATGATGAATGGCTTCCTGCACGGGCTATGAATCCGTGGGTTTGGAAGGTTTAGGGTTTAGGGCTTCGCATTTAGGGTCAACCCTGATTCCTACAGCGAGCAGCTTGAATAGGGCTCGGTCGTTCCTTAGGCTTGCATGCGTTCTTTATCGATCGGCAAGCGTCACTTATTATTTATCTACCCTTTGCGATATTCCTCGGAAAAAAAGCTTCGTTCCTTATGTTTCGTTCCTTAGGTCAGGCCGATTACCCTAAACCTTAAACCCTTCGGAGCGTGTGCCCGACCTCCGCGGCTCGGGCCGCTGCGGAGGACGAGCCGGCCAGCCGCCTTCCGCGGCGGCCCGAGGCGCGCCTGCCCCGCGGAGCTCCCGAGGATGTGTTTCGGTGGAGAGCGCGAGGATGATCCTTCCTTCCTCTTCCCCCTCTTCCTCCTCCTCCTCCTCCTCCTCCTCCTCCTCCTCCTCCTCCTCCTCCTCCTCCTTCCCCCCCTCCTCCTCCTCCTCCTCCTCCTCCTTTCTCCTCCTCCTCCTCCTCCTCCTCCTCCTCCTCCTCCTCCTCCTCCTCCTCCTCCTCCTCCTGTCCTCCTCAATCCTCCTTCTTCGCCTCTTCAATCCTCCTCCTTCTCCGCCTCCTCCTCCTCCTGCTCGTCCTCCTCCTCCTCCTCGTCCTCCTCCTGCGGGCTTCAGTTGCGGGCCAGTTGCAAACGCGAGCATCAGTTGCGGGCCAATCGATTGTTTTTTTGTTGTCACGAGGCCTGGAAGGCTAAGTCATCGGTGCGGGAGCTCCCGCAGTGCATGGCACCTCCCGATGGCCAAGTGTTGCTGGGGCCGCGAACGCCCCACTGGGGATGTTCGTGCGGCTGCGCGGACAACTGGGCGTCGAGGGTTGCATGCCGCATGCAGGGGGCACGACAGGCTGCGTCCAGGGCCAAGTCCGTGTCGCGGCCGTCAGGTCTTGGGCCCAAGCAACCCTTCAGGCAATGGGCTAACGGACCGCCAGGGAGTGCCACCTCGAAGTTGTTCAAACAGCTCCAAGACTTGCAGCAGCAGGTCGCGAAGCTCACTGGTGGCTCTCGGCCCGAGTCAGGAGCTGCGCCGCCGTGGGCTGCTGGTGGCGGCGGAGGCAAGGGCAGCGGGGGTACATCATCCACGTAAGGGCAGGAGGTGCTCGCTTACCTCAAGAAGCTCGGGGTCGACAGCTCGGCCATCGTGGCAGTCGGGGAGGCGGAGAAGACGGCTACGGAAGCAGTGAAGAAGAAGGCGCCCACAGCGCAGTCGGCACGCTGGCGGGTCGAGAACCTCAAGACCAAGCTCGCCTAGCTGGAGGCGAGGGTCAATGAGATCGAGCGGCAGAGAGAGGCCCTGGACGAGGAGCTCGCCACCGTCAACGGGTCCTTGGCCAAGGGGCGCGAAGACCTGGTTCAGGCTCAGGAGCTTCTGTGCACGGCCCACGCCAGCTTGTTCGATGGCCCGCTCAAGGCCATGTCAGCAGGACTCGCCTCGTCCGTCGCCGAGTCCACGGAGGGGAAGGCAGCGCTGGAGAAGCTTCAGCAGTTGCCGCGTGCTGCCGAGGAAGCGAAGTGCGCTGCTGACGACGCCGCAGCTGCCGCTGGCGCTTCTGCTTCTCCCCCAGGAGGGGGCGGCGAACGCGCGGCCGCCAATGACGGCGACAGTGGGGACATCGATATGGACCTGCTCGGAGGCGAGGACTTTGCCGAGCGCAAGCAGGCTTTTGACACCGCCGCCAAGGAGCTCGAGGCGCCCAAGGGAGGCCCCCAGGAGGTGCTGGACGCTGCCAAACGCAAGTACATGGCAGCTGCCCAAGCCATCGGAGTCAAGCGGGCGCGGAAGTGCGGCTCCTAGCTCGGGGCAGTTTGCCTTTAGCCTCGGTGTGGGCTGGAGCGCGGGCATGGCCGACTTCGCAGCGTTCCACCAGCTAAGCATGACTGACGCGGACTGGGAAGAGGCCACGGGTTTTGTTGCCCCAGTCTTTCGCGATGACCTGCTCTTCGAGTCGACGCTGTTCCGCCAGCAGGACTGCGAAGGAGCGCTGAGCCGGAGGCGGGGGCAAGAGCGCGCGGGAGGGATGGGCAGGGCGCTCGCTGGATTCAGCCTTCACAAGGTCGCGAAGTTGTTGAAGCAGCATTCCCTTTCCCCCCCCCGCGCTGCGCTAGATGCGGATTCGGAGATAGCTCGGTCAAGGTCTGACAGGAGGGGGCGTGGACCTCCGGCTCGCAATGTTATTTCAGACGAATTTGGCCCTCGTTTGGCCCAGGGATCTTTTGAAAGTCTCGCGGCAGACGTTGAGGCGGCCGGCGCGTCTGGCGCGGCGGTGCAGGAGCGACGTTGCAAGTCCCAGGATGTGGCGGCGATGTGAAATTTGTTGGACAAGTTCGGCGTCGAGGGCGAGGGCCACTCGGCGGTCGTGACCATCGATGGGCCGCCTGGGCCAGCTAAGCCCACGTGCAGAGACAACGCAAAGTCGCCCACGATCCTCGGCGTGGATTCCAACGCGTGGGTTTCGGCAGGGACAGTTGCGGAGTGGCCGATGGATCGCGGCTCGCAGCATGGAGCGCTCGATGCTGTACCTGATTATCTGCGCGCGCAGGAAGGAGACTCGGCTGAAATCTCCTGACGAGGCCATCTCGGCATCTCGCTGGTGCTCTCGGCGCGGTTGGCATGTTGCGCACGGCATGGCCCGCAGCGCAGGACCAGGGCCCACGCATCGCTCGCCAGGGGTTGCAGTCGCGATCCAGCAGGCCATCAGGTCGGCGCGCGCGTTGCCAGACCAGCTGAGTGGATGCAGAAGTCGGTTTGTGATCGGGAGGGCGAGCGTAGGCTTCTCGCGGGGGCTGCTGATTGTCTCGGCCCACTTCATCACGGGCGTCGGGCTGACGGGGCCCAACCTGCCCTTGCTCGAATCTCTGGGCGAGTACCTCTTGAGCCAGCCACTTCCCTGGGTAGCCCAGGGGGGCACAATTTTGTTCCTTCCGACTTGCTCGCGTCAGGATGGCCGCAGACGGCTAGGGGCGAGATCGTTTCGCCGACTGACCCGGCGTGCGCAGGAACCTTGGTTCCCAAAACCCGAGAGGCCTATCTGGCGGCCCAGGTTGTTCTTGGGGGGACTTCAGATGGCGGGGTCACTGATGAGTTCGAGGTGTCAGGAGGAGGTGGGCGTGTTTTGGACAACATCGTCGCAGCGGAGTGCTTGGCGCCCAGGGCCAAGAGCCTCAAGGTCTTTGTTGACGCCCCGCTGTACCACGTTCTTGGAGCTAGAGGGCCTCTCCCACGCGGCCGTCATCAATGGGCAGGCTAGGCTGAAGGCGTTCGAGCATGACCAGTATGGGCCTCGTCCCGTTTCTCCGGAGAACCTCGACTGGGGCTGGGCTCTTGGAACCGACCGCAGTGAGCTCCCTCTCTCTCTCTCTCTCTGTCTGTCTCTCTCTCTCTCTCTCTCTCTCGCTCTCTGGGAGACACGTGCAAGAAGTGGCGCGCGCTTTCGGAGGCTAGGCTGGTCCACGCCCATGAGGTTGAAGCGTCAGAGGCCAAGGATCACGCGGGCAGGGCCAAAGGACCGCGCATGCAGAAGGTCCCGCTTGGAGCTTTGTGGGATAAAGATCAGAGGCGTGGGTTCTCCAGCTCCACGACCGCTTGGGTGGCGTTCCAGGCTTTGCTGTTGCGCTGTCGTCAATCTGCCGCGCGCTCGGTTGGCCGTCGAGGCCGCGCCCCCCCCCCCCCCCCCCCCCCCCCCCCCCCCCCCCCCAGCTGACGTGGCAAGCTGGTGCGCATGATAGACGGCGTGCTGCCCGTCGAGGGCGGCCTCTCTCCCGAGGTGCTAGAGACGCTCGCCAGGGACGCTTCAGGGAGCAAGCTCCAGGGGGAGTCACAGGTGCTTGAGGAGTTAGACAGGGAGGTCAGCAGGTGGAGGATGCAGGACGCGAAGGCCAGCATGAAGGAGTGGAAGGAGTGGACGGCGGGGTCGGGTCCAACTTCGTTGCTCACCCACGCAGGCGTTCCAGTCAGCGGGCAGGAGGGATTCAGTTACCTCCTGGACGCGTGGACGCCGCTCTGGTTTGCAGAGGGCCGCGGGGCCCGACGTCCTTTCACGCGGGAGGCCCCGCCAGACGAGCTGCCGCCGATAACTGTCGAGCAGCTCCGAAGGGCGTGCAAAAGGTATGCACGCAAGTGTGGGCAAGGCTGCGACGGGTTCTATCCGCGATGGGCGCAAGATCTCAGTGGCGAGTTTGTGAGCCGTCTAGCAGACATTGCACCAGTTCGAGAGGGCTCCGAATACTTCCTGCTGTTCATGACCAGTATCGTGTTCTTGGACACGAGCGATGGGGGAGTCCGACCGATTGGGCTCTTGGCGTGTTTCTCGAAGGTATGGCGCAACGCCCGTCAGCCGCTGTTCAAGAAGTGGAAGCAGGCTCATATGGAAGACGTGCTGGGGAGTTAGCAGCACCACTGCGCGTGAACGAGCGGGGTGGACGCGCAATCTATTGGGCAGCTACTGTAGACGGGTGGGCTTTTATTCTGGGTCGGCTTCAGTTGACTTGTCTACGTTCTATGAGCACAACGGTCAAGAGGGCTTGCATGAGGCTGCAGCTCGGTTTGGAATTCCCATTCGCCTGCTGCGCGGCCTCTACGCGGTGCATGCATGTCCCCGCGCGCTGTTGTACGGAGGCGCAGCGTCCAGCATAGCGCGTGCCAATGGCCTGGCCATAGCGGGGCGCAGCGGGGCAACCTGTCTGGCGAACCTGATGTTTTTGTGGCCCCTTTCAAAAGCTAAACAGGGCCCTCCTCAGTTGTTTATCAGGAGCGTGGACGACATAGCGTTGCCGGCATGCGGCAAGAGCATCCAGGTTGCCTCGGTCCTCAGCTCGGTGTTTGAATCGCTGCCCGTCGATTTCGATCGGCTCCATCTTCCTGTCGCCGTGAAGAAGACTAAGTATACTTGTAGTGCTGCAGTTCATGGCCTCATACAGGGCCAGTGGCGGATCCCACCCTCGCGCGTGGACGCGGCCCGAAATCTCGGCACGGACGCCACCTCGGGCACGTGTCGTCGCGCTGGGATCGCCAGGGGCAGATTTGCGGCTGCCAAATCTCGATCGCGCCGGATCCAGGTTAAAAAAATGCAGGGGCGGTCGTTGGCCTCACCCAAAGGGTCGGGACCATTGCCGTGGCCATGTGGGGAAGCACCATGTCGGTGATCCCCCATCGGCGATGCGTGGGCTCAGGGTGCCTGCTGCCGAGAGCATTGGGCGGCTTCCCAAGGGCTCCAGTCTAGGGCTCAGGCTTCACTCTTGCAGGATGGCACTGCAAGCGGATCCTTTAGTGTCCTGATCCTGGGGGCGACGATGGACGCGGCGATCGAAAAGTTGTGCAGTTTGCGTCGCCCTTGGCCTCGTCGCCCGCGGACGTTGCGTACCTTTCCCTGCGCAGGATCGGCTGAAGGTTCTCAACCAGTACCAGACTTCGGGGCGATCTAGGGATCGTCTGGAATCTCAGTCAGCCCTCCCCCCACCCCGGCGGGGTCAGGGAGCCGGCGCGTGCAGGGGCGGCCAGGGCGCCAGGCAGGCTTGCTCTAGGAAGTTCAGGACGCCTCGGGTCCGCAGGCCCCATGGGGCCCGACGGTGCGTTTCCCGTTTTTGAGGCAGACCTGCGGCCCCTGATCAGGGACAAGAGTCAGCACTGGTCCCCCTCATCATCAGAGAGCGGTGCGCTCGCTGCTGCGCAACGTGCATGGGCCTCAGCTACGCGGTTGTGGGCATGGCCTGCACGAGTCTGACCAAGGAGGACAAGGGGGCGCTCTGGCATAGGCAGCACGGGTGCGTGGCGCACGCGGGCTACCGCAGAGACGGTGTCTCGCCCTGGCTTGCCGCGCGCGCCCGTCGAGCCCTGGATGGAGGGGTCGATGCGAGATCCTTTTGCCTCCGTCCCCCGCGTGGAACCCGAAGTCTCTATCAGGTGGGTGAGCGGACCTGTCCGTGGATTTCTCTCGGGCTCTATTTTTAGTGACGGGCAAGCTACGCGGCCGTCGCTGCCGGGTGTCAGCAGAGCGGGCTGGGCTCTAGCGCAGGTAGACCCGCTGGGCAACGCGCTGCACGCTGCGCACGGGCCTGCCCCGCGGGGCTTCGGGCCGCGCCAGACGGCCATATATGGAGAGGTCGCTGCGATTAACATGCTCACGCAAGTTGGCATGGCGCCTTTCGAGCTGCATCTATATTGCAAGGCTACTCTAGAGGTTTTACAAAGGGGGTCCTGGATCGGGGGCCCCTGCGAGGTCCCCCCGAAGCCACACGTGGAGCCCCTTATGGGCGGCGTTCGGAGGCTCCGACATCCAGGCCCGCAAGACTCCCCCCCACGCCACCAGCCACGACATCGAAGCTGGTCGCATCGCGTGGTGATAGAAAAAGGCCAACAGCAGCGCTGACCAATATGCCAAACTCGGAGCCCAGGTGCACGGAGTGGACCATTCGCATGCCGCACCCCTTCGTGGTTTCAAGGCGCTGGCTCTAGAACAGGGGAGGTGGGCAGGCAGGCTCGAGGTTTTGACGGCCACCAGCGGCCAGAGCAGGCAGGACACGGTTGGCTTGGAGCCCACGGTCCAAGACCAGCCCTCGGAGCCGCCGCCCGGCCCTGCAGATGAGGTGGGGGAGGTCGCGTCGTCGTCGAGTGTCGCGGAGCCGGCGGGGGACGGAAGGGGAGCTGTGTCGGGCTGATGAGGCCCGCCAGGCGTTTTCTTTCCGTCAGCATGCCCTCGTTCGATGCACGATCAAGACCCCCTCCAAGATTGGAAACAAGGTTGTTTTCTGTTATATGTGTGGGGATTATACCTCGGGCCGTCTGGGGCGGACCCTCATTGAGCGTTGTCTGGGGAAGCCTGCCAGTCCAGGGATTGGGACTCAGTTCAATCGGCTCCGTGCCGGCAAACACCCACAGTACCGTCCCACCACCAGGTGTCTCGCGCTCGGACCTCCAGGCCCGTTGAGCTCCTAGGAACAGGCCGAGATCGAGAGGCTTGTGGGTTGGTGTGAAGCTGCGGCCGCGAGTGCGTGCACGCCGTCGGCAGCAGGCTTCTTCCCAGGACTGCCCTCGCAAGCTTCTGCGCTTGCGGCCTTTGGGACTCTGGAGTCAGAGCGGCCTCGGGTTCAGGAGCTGGGGCGGCCTCGGCCCGTGGACGGCTCAGATAATGAGTCCGAGGCCTCCGACGGTGAGCTCTTCTGACCGCGAACCCGCCTTTATGGCCGTCCAGCACCACCGCCACCACCTCCTCGTCCTCCTCGTCGTCCTCCTCCTGATCCTCCTCATTGTCCTCCTCCTCCTCCTCCTCCTTCCCTCCTCCTTCCCTCCTCCTCCTCACCCTCCTCCTCCTCCTCCTCCTCCTCCTCCTCCTCCTCCTCCTCCTCCTCCTCCTCGTCTCTCCCCAGTGAGATTCAGAATGCGGTTTTTCTTTATTCGGCCTGGTCGCTGGCGGGTCACTGAGCGTTCTGGTTTTCACTTTCCGAGGTTCGAGGACTCCGATCGTTTCGAGGATGATGCGATCGGCCGCTTCGAGCCAGAGCATGTGTTCTTCAGGGAAGCATTAGGAAGCCAGGGGAGCGTCTTTGCCCATCCCGCCACAATGATATTCAGGCTGACGCAGTGTCCGGAGTATTGCGACGATGCCGCGAAGTGCACCCCAGGATCCGGGCGCCGCGACCTTTTTCGCTCCGAGCGCTGTTAGGGTCCGGGACCTCGCGGCTCGAGCTGGCCCGGGGAGCGCCCCAGAAAGAGGGCGTTTCCAGTTGGAGCCGGCTAGGGACCTGAGGTGAGGCGTCATTGGTTCCAGCCGCTGAAGAAGGGGAGAGGTTGGAGCCGGCTGGGGGTCTTGAGTTGGCCCAGCATTGGTTCCGGCCAGCAGGAAGGGCGGGCAGTTTGCTTGACCAGCGGAGGGCCTCATGTTTTTGAAGGATGATATTATGTTTTCAAGCCGGGGGCGGCAACGAGGCAGGTGATGACTAGGGGGGATATCATAACGGGACTGATTTCACGGTGCCTGTTCTTATTTCATTACGTTCCCGGTCTTGGGCCGCGCACATGTCGCCAGCCATGATTTGCGCCCCCCCTCTTGGACGCCCCCCTCTTGGCCGTATAGGTCCAATTTTTAGATTTTAATCGACGCTCAGAGCCCGAGGACGAAGCATACCGGCGGGATCGAGGAAAACACGACGGCAGAAGCCCAGGCGGTGTTGTGCCGAACGCAATCCTCTTTGTCCTCCTCCTCCTCCTCCTCCTCCTCCTCCTCCTCCTCCTCCTCCTCCTCCTCCTCCTGCCGCCCGAGGCGTCCGCGCCGGCGGCGCCGTCGCCGCTCGGCGCACCGGCGGGCGCCGCGGCGGCGCCGGGCGCCACGTTCGAGGCGCTGCGGCGGCGGCTGGAGGCGCGCGGCGGGCGGACGGCGAGCGCGCTTGGCCGCGGCGGCGGCAGCGGCTCCAACGGCGCCGACGGTGCCGACGGCGGCGATGGCGGCAGCTGGAAGCGCCCAGCGGGCGGGCGGCGGGCACGTTTGGCGGCGGCGGCGGCGACCGCGACGGCGGCGCCGGCGCCGGCGGCGAGGGCGGCGTTGGGCTGGAGGGCAACGATAAGGCTATGCGATAAGGGGGGATAGGCAGCATAATTATAGGGGGGGGGACGCATCGGCCCCCAATCGCCCACTGATCGCCGCGAGGGGCCCGATGGCCCCACCCCGCCCGAGAATGTGCTGTTTCGCTGTCGGTGGCCGATCGCCGATCTATCGACAATGTATCGTCGATTCCAGGTTGATGCATCCCCCCCTGTGCCAGCCCCCCCTGCCGTTGCCGCTCATGGGCGACCTTGAGGTCAGAGCGTTGCAACTGTTTCGCCCCGGGCGTCCTCGCCAGGTTTCGGGCCGCCCAGGGGCCATGACAGGTCGATGCGGCTCGAGGCATGCCGCAGAACGATGGGATCTGCGGCTCCTGTCAGATCTCAAGGGATGGCGCCACGGGGGCGCGGGTTTCGGAGATGGCGGCGGCGGCGGCGGGCCCTGGCGGCGGCGGCAGCCGAGGCGGCGCAGTCGACGGGGGCGGCGACGCCGACGACGGCGGTGGACGATGGCGGCGCTGGCGAAGGCGACGTCGGCGTCGTCATCTGCGTCGCCGTCGGCGTCGGGCGTCGGCTTCGGCGTCGTGGTCGGCGTCGTCGACGGCGGCAGCTTGCTGACGGGGGGGGGGCCCAAGGCGGCGAAGGCCAGGTTCGGAGTCTCGAGGGCAGGGTCGCCGGATGGCTCTCGCGCGGAGCTGTCTCGGGTGTGCCCCCACAGGGAAACATGCGCAGTGGCTGCACGGGTCTCGCTCGTGGCTCTCGCTGGACACTTGCCCTGCTGCCTGCGGCAAGTCCCGCCGCCGTGCCAGCGCAGCAGCACTTCTTCAGAGGCACGTCAAGAGCCCCGCGGCAGAGGGGGGAGGACAGGGGGAGGACGACCCCCAACCACTGCTCGCACTGGTGGCCCGGGCCACTCGGCTAAGCGGCTCGCCGCGAGGGCCGCGCGTTTTGCCACATCGCCACCGGCGGCACGAGGCAGCGGCAGCAGCAGGAGCAGCAACGAGGTCGAGAGTAAGACCCCCTCCTGGCCAGTGCTCTCCTTGAACTGGTGCTGTTCTTGAACACCCCGTTTTCGTCAGCGATCCACTTCCCTTCTTCTTTCATCGTTTCTCCTCGGTGTTCTCTTCCCCCTCTTACTCGTTGTATTGTGAAGGCATCCTGTGGTGTTGTGTCCTCGTTTTGAAGAGACGTCGCCCCGCGTTCCTCTCCTCTCCTCTCCTCTCCTCCTCCTCCTCCTCCTCCTCCTCCTCCTCCTCCTCCTCCTCCTCCTCCTCCTCCTCCCCTCATTCCTCTCTCCTCCCGTCATGATCATCGTCATCATCATCATCATCATCATCATCATCATCATCACCATCATCATCACCATCACCATCGCCATCACCATCACCATCACCATCATCGTCATCATCATCATCATCATCATCATCATCACCATCATCATCATCAGCGTCGTCATCATCATCATCATCATCATCATCATCATCACGACCGTCATCATCACCAGCATCATCACCCATGTCGGCACACCCCTCACACGTTTCGTCGCCCCAGAGGGAGCTCCACCGAAGGCCCGGGTGCCACCGCCAACATGCCTCACAAATTTCGTGGCCCCATAGGGAGCTCCACCGAAGGCCGCAGTGCCACCGCCCGCATGCGTCCCCCACACCCAGTTCGGCACGCCCCTCACACGTTTCGTGGCTTCATAGGAAGCTCCACCGAAGGCCCCAGTGCCACCGCCCGCACGCGTCTCCCACACCCATTTCGGCACGCCCCTCACACGCGTCGTGGCCTCATAGGGAGTCCCACCGAAGGCCCCGGTGCCACCGCCCGCATGCGTCCCCCACACCCATGTCGGCGCACCCCTCACAAATTTCGTGGCCCCATAGGGAGCTCCACCGAAGGCCCCAGTGCCGCCGCCCGCTCGTCATCATCATCATCATCACCATCATCATCATCATCATCATCATCATCATCATCACCATCACCATCACCGTCACCGTCATCAGCATCATCATGATCAGCATCGTCATCATCATCATCACGACCGTCATCATCACCAGCATCATCACCCATGTCGGCACACCCTTCACATTTTATTGTGGCCCCATAGGGAGCTCCACCGAAGGCCCGGGTGCCACCGCCCGCATGCGTCCCCCACATCCATTCATTCCGGCACATCCCTCACACGCCTCGTGGCCCCATAGGGAACTCCACCGAAGGCCCCAGTACCACCGCCCGCATGCGTCCCCCACACACACATTTCGAGATCGGGGAGAACAGGATCTATCTGAGGCGCTTGCCGCTGGGGTTCTGGGTGTGCACGGAGACGTGCGCGAGCGCGCCCTTCGTGGACGACCTGAAGCGCCACGACGACAGCCTCACGGGGGACCTCGCGGGCTCGCTGGTGTTCATCGAGCCCCGCACGTCGGAGCCGTTCACCTCCCTCACCTCCAAGGTCGCCCGGACGGGCTCCCCGCTCTCGCACGGCAGGGTTCTCACTACGGTGGCGTGGCAGGGGCGCACCATGCGAGTAGGCGACGGGGCGAGGGAACGGCGCCCCTGGGCAGTCTACAGCCGAGGCTCCTGGGCACGAGCGGTCTGCAGCCGGACCATCTCTCGGCGTCGTGGACTCTCGCCTTAGGCCGTCGGCTGTCCGGCGCGCTGCTTCCCCGGCCGACGTCGCCCAGGCGTCATCCTGGACTGCGGCCGCCACGAGGTCGGGAACGGCAAGAAGGAGGACGACGACTGGCGGCTGGAGCTCCACGCGCTGCTCTCGCGCGCCACGCGCCACGGGGGCCTCCTGCTCACGCGGGCGCCGCGCATCGAGTTCTTCCCGGCAGGGCCGCTGAAGGGCTTGCGGAAGCAGCCGGAGCAGTTCGCGGCGCGCACGAAGAGGCGCAGGAGGGAGGCGACGGACCTCGCCAGGGAGCTCGGCTTCGCCGAGTTCATCCGCGAGGCCTGACCTGAGGAGCGCGCGCCCCCCCGAGCCGCGCCTCCTTTCGACTGCCCAAGTGATTGTTTGGCTTCGCGCCGCGAACGACCCGCGCGCGTCGCTGGGGCCCTCCCAGGGCGACCGGCGCGCGTCGCGAGAACTCCGCGCTGCGTTCTTCCCCGCGCCTCGCTCGCCCGTCGTCGCTCTGCCCAGCGGCCAGAGCCTTGCCCGCTATCAACCAGCCAGCTAGCTAGCTGGGTCTCTTTACTCGGCGCAGCGGGCGACCCGCGCGCGTCGCTGGGGGGGCGACCGGCGCGCGTCGCGGGGGCCCCGCGCCGCGCTGCGCCGCCCGCTGCTTTGGAATTTGGAGCGCGCGGGCAAAGAGGGGGAAAAAGAAGGAAGCGGGCGCGACCCTCGTGAGGGGCGCGCCGACATGGGCGCCGCGGCGCGCCGGCGCTGCCGCCGGGATTCCCGCGGAAGCTTTCCGCGGCGGCCACGCTCAGCGCCACGAGTGCGCAGACAGGCATACCCGAACCGTCGACATTCATATGCGTTTTCACGAGGCGCAGCCATGGTCGCACTCGTGCAAATATATTCGCTCGCGCGCAAACCCATTCGCACTTAGACTCACTCGCGTTCAGATTTACCCGCGCTCAGTCTCTCGTAATTAGACCAATCGTTTCCTTTCGTGTTGTGTACCCCGCCTCATGTCGGCGCGCCCCTCATACGGTTCGTGGGCACCACCGAAAAAGATACAACTGCGGTGCTCACAACTGCATATGGTTGGGTCTTTCGCCAGGATAATTTTGAAGACATCCCGGAGGCCACCCGGCGGCTGACTCAGGGTGCGGTGGGGGTTTCGTGGGCTTGTTTGTGGACCTGTTGGGGGGCCGTTGGACGGCTTGTCATCGCAACAGCGCAGCGGGAGGGATAATATTGAACCGTTGACCCACTCGAAAGTCAGCGGCGTCTGATTTCACGCGGGCTTGCAACTCGATCTCGGAGGCGGTCGGGGAGGTGGAGTTGAAGACCCGTGCCAGTTCAGGCTGGATCGTGAACTTGGCGCGGGTCTTTGAAGTGCACCGCCTGGTTTTCGCAAAGGTCCTAGCGTTCGATGATGATGATGATGATGATGATGATGACGATGCCGATGACGATGACGATGACGATGATGATGATGATGATGATGATGATGCTGATGATGATGATGATGATGATGGTGATGGTGATGGTGTTGATGTTGATGATGATGCTGATGATGAGAGGAGGAAGAGGAGGGAACGGAGGAGGAGGAGGAGGAGGAGGAGAAAAGGGGAACGAGGAGGAGGAGGAGGAGGAGGAGGAGGAGGAGGGGGAGGAGGTTGAGTGAAAAACCCGTTCCTCTAGTTCAACGTTCCGTCTCAATTGGCGCATGTCTTGAGTGCCATATTCATGTCCGCAGCATTGTTCTCCTGTTCCTTCCTCGTTCATCATATTTTTCCGTTTCCCCTCCGCCCACCTCATTCTTGAAGGGATTTGGGGGATTTCGTCGGAGCATGTTTTGAGCTCTTTGGGACCTTGTGGGGTTCTCTGGGGGGGCATTTTCAAAATGCCCCCCCAGAGGGCCTTTCGTTCGCCTCCGTTTGGGAAGGGGTCGTAGGGATTCTCCATTGGATGGGACAGGGGCCACGAAAAGGGTAACGGAGGGAGGATGGGGTGAGGGGGGAGGAGGGAGAAGGGAGGAGGGGGTGAGGGAGGCCGGGAAGGGGAGGGGCAGGGGAGGGAGGAGGGGGAGGCGCAGGAGCAGGAACACGAGAGGGAGGAGCATGAACAAAAGGACGGAGGAACATTAGGGGGAGGAGCAGGAGGCGGAGGGGGAGGAGCAGGAGCAGGGGGGAGGAGGAGAC